GCTGAACCAGAGCCCCTTAAAGGGGGGGTTGTCTAGGGGGACCCACGATTGGGGGGAGGGGCTGTGGGGCTGAGAGGCCTAGATGACCCCAGAATCAGGAATGGTGGAAACGGAGGCCCGGGGTAGGTGCGGAGGGGACAGCTCAAGCTCGGGGGCGAGGGGATGGGGTCAGGCCCAGTCTGCCTTTCACAGGCAGGGTGACCTTGGGGAGCCAGGACACATGGGGCCCTGACATGCTTTCTGGGGAGGGCATGAGGATTCCACGAGGTGCTGTGTGGATGTGCAGGGCACAGGGTCGGCTCCAGCTGGGGCTGAGGACACCTGGGAGTGGACACCGGGGGGGACCCGAGAAGGAGGAGGGAAGAGCTGCCCAGGTCTTCTGGGAGGTGGTCTGTACCTTGCTGAGCTGTGCCCGCTGAGCCAGCCGCCCTGGCACCCTCACAGCCTTGGCGGGAAGCAGGAGCTGTCCCCCTCACCGGCTCCCAGCACACAGCATCTCCTGTGGGGCCCCTCCCTGACCTGCCTGCACCCTGGCAGCTCCTGCCCACCTAGCTTATGGGCCCAGGGTCCCACCTGGACGGCCCTACACTGGCTGCCAGCCGGTCAGGGAGATCATGCAAGAGCCACCGGGGGCCGAGCCTCGCAGTGGGTCTTGGAGGGCCAGGCAGTGGCCCCCGGCTTGGCAGGGGCCTTGAAAGGGGGCCATGCAGGAAGCCTGCACCCGGAGAACAGGATGCCCCTGTTGGGCAGCGTGTTGGCTGTTGGCCCTCAGGCTGCACAAGCCTGCAGGCCAGTCAGGCGTGGCTCCAGTGCAGGCTGGTCAGGCCCCCACACAGCTCGGGGTGCAGGGGTAGGGACGGGATAATAATTAATAATAATAACTAACGGCTGCTGCTGTTGATGGTGGGACTGTGGTGGGCGGCAGGCCCTCCACTGACCTTCTTTCGCCCTCCATCTCCTTTGATCTGTCAGCACCCCATGGAGGTGGGTGACCCTCGTGCCCACTTGAGAGGCGAGGAACCGGCCTCAGAGGGGCAGCGACTCGTCCTAGGAGGGACGAACTCCAGCTCCCTCACAGCCTGGGCTGTGTGGTTGACCAACCCTGCGTCCTCGCTCGGCCAGCTCCGAGGAGGGCGAGCGTCCCGAGGCACTGTGTGCACACCCCCCACCCCGATGTCGGCTCGTCCTGGGGCGGGGCAGCCAGGCCCCTCTGGACCTGCCCCTCCAGGCCCTCGGTGGGGAGACCCCAGAGAAGCACTTTCAGACTGCTCCTCTCGGAGGGCTGCCTCGTGGCGACCTCCACCCTGTGTCCCTCTCACATCAGCAAATGCGTGGCCCCCCTTCCGGAAGTCCCAGTCCAGCGCCGAGACCCTGCAAACAGGTGACCGGGAAGCAAGATCATCCCAGAGTGGGGTGACGTTCTGGAGGAACTAAACGGGGGAAGTGAAAGAGCTTAAGTGCGGGGGTCTCTCCGGAGGAAGTGAGGTCAGAGCTGAACCCCCAAGACGGAAGGAGGGGCGTTCCAGGCGGGGTGTGCACGGCCTGGAGCCAGGGCGCTATGAGTGTGGGAGGAAGGGCAAGCACACAGGATGTGGCGGAGGGGCCCAGCAGGGGTGGGCGGGGTGGCCTGGGTCAGGTAAGCCCTGTGAACCCCATGTCATGGGAGCTGCTGAAGGGTTTTGGGTGGGAGAGACGATGCGCGAGCAAGACCTGCTCTGCTGCTGTGCAGAGCCCTCAGTGGCTCCCTGCTGCCCGTGTAGCCAGGCCACACTCGCCAGCCCGGCCCCACTGACCCTGCTTCCTGACTCCCCTGCACATGTCCTGCTCAACTAGAGGCCCTGAACACTCTCTCCCTGGCCTTTGCACTCTCTGTTCCTTGACCACAAATGCTATTCCTCACCATCTCCACACCACCTCTGCTCTTCCCTGAGGGCTGCGTCATTTTCTGCTTTCTGGGGTGGGGGCAGCCTCGAGAGCAGGGTCCCGACCCACAAGTTGCTCCATAAAACTTTGCCGAATTTCATTGTGTGCTCGCATGTGCAGACTGGGAAGGGGCTTGCCCTCACCGCATTTACAGAGGAGTGGGCTCAGAGAGGTGAAGTGACTTGCCCTAGGTCACACAGCCAGGAGGCAATAAAGCTGGGACTCAAATAAGATTCAAGAGGGGCCGACCCTGTGGCTTAGCGGTTAAGTGCACGCGCTCCACTACTGGTGACCCGGGTTTGGATCCCCCGGCGTGCACCGACGCACCGCTTCTCCGGCCATGCTGAGGCCGCGTCCCACATACAGCAACTAGAGGGATGTGCAACTATGATGTACAACTATCTACCGGGGCTTTGGGGAGAAAAGGGGAAAAAAAAAGGAGGAAGATTAACAATAGATGTTAGCTCAGGGCCGGTCTTCCTCAGCAAAAAGAGGAGGATTGGCATGGATGTTAGCTCAGGGCTGATCTTCCTCACAAAATAAATAAATAAATAAATAAATAAGATTCAAGAAAGGCTCATGAGGTCCCATACTGTGTACCTGTGGTCCCACTGTGCGCGGCCTCCATGACCCACAACTCCTGGAGGTGGGGCCTGGGAGAGCGGGGGGGGGGGGAGTCCCCTCCCCCTGCAGCCTCCGTCCACCTGGATTTGACTTCCAGAACCGCTGCCTCTTCAGGAAGGAGAGTGCACATGGATGACAACCAGGGGCTTTGAAGCCCTGCAGACCCACGTGACCCTGTGGAGACACACCCGTACTTGCTGTGTGCCCTGGGCGCATTACTGCCCCTCTCTGTGCCTGTAAAACAGGGCTGGCAGCAGCGTCCCCCTCACAGGAGTTCGGTGAGAATAACAGGAGCAATAACCGTTGAGCAGAGCCTGCAAACAGCGAGCATTTTCCGTAGGTGGGCAGCCCCAGGTCCGCGCTGTTTCCTTCTCTGCAAAAGGAGGTCCCAGGCACCAGCGGGGCACCTCCCCCTTCATCCTCAGGGCCCAGCAGGCACCCAGAGGATAAGCGTGTCCACGAGCCCGTTTCTCAAGGGTCATTCTGGGTCACCCTCAGTCTGCTTCTCCCTGACGGTCCAGTTCTTTCTAGACAAGCCCCCCGTGAGGAGTGTGAGGCCGGCCTGGTGCTGGCAGGTGCCCTCCGCCCTCCCCAGTGGGTTTCTCCTTCTCTGCTTTTCTGGTTTGTCCCATCCGTGTGGCCCCAGTGAAGCCCCATTGTGGAAGGGCGTTGAAAAGTTGGAACAGGCTCCATGTCCTCAGCGTCCCAGCCTGGCATCTGAAACGCCCTCTCAGGCCTGCCAGGGGACCGCCTGCCCCAAGGCATCCTGGTCAGATGAAGGGCTGGCGGGACGGGCTGCACCCCACAGGGGTGGCCCAGGGCCTACGGCAGCCTGCCACATTTGCCTTCTTTGGTTGTCACCGGGGACTGGCCACCGGCCTGCAACCAGGCATGCTGTTGACGGGCCCCCACAGCTGCGGCGCACGTGTGCCCGGCCATCAGCCTCCTGACAGGCAGGCTGCAGGGGGGCAGGGCGCGGCGGGAGGGAGGCCAGCGGCTGCAGCTGAGTGGACAGCAGGTGCTGTGCGGCCAGGGAGGCTGCTGATTGCCGGCTGCTGCCCCATGGAGGGGGCCCAAAGGGGGGGTGCGTCTCGGCTCTCGCCCCGCGCGTGGGGCCCTGGAGTGTGGGGGGCTGTCAGAGCCCCGCCCAGTGCTGCATCTCCACTCTGGCGGGGCAGTGGGACAGGTTTGCACACCATGGGGCGCGAGACGATGGGAAAGGCCGTTTGTCGGGTGAGGCCCCGTCGGTGTCAGCAGCAGGAGCTTGGGGCAGTGGCGGGGGCAGCACGGGCTGGGCCTCTGTTGGTGACAGATACAGGACGCCCACCTGATGGCCCCGAGCAGCTGAGCCCCCGAAATCCCATCCCCTGCTCCCAGGGCTTTGCAGCCTGCCCAGGCGCTGGCTGCCCCTGAGTTAAGAGGGAGGGAGGCCAGGGGCTTGCCCCTCCAGCTGTGAAGAGTGCCTGGGCAGCTGCCGGCTCAGGGTTTGTGCGGCCGGTCAGACGCGCCCGAGGCCTTTTCCTCAGGGTCCTGCTTGGTGGGGCCAGGGGCCCAGGGCCCTCCCAGGCTATGGTCTGTTCTAGCCATCCCCACCCCCTCTACGCATACCTGACCCACAGCAGAGCATCAGACCACCTGGGACTTGACCAGTGTCCAGGGACACGACCCGCTGGTCTGTGGACCACAATTTGAGTGGCCAGGCCCAGGACAGCCTAAAATGGACTGTGTCCTTGGCCTGTCTGCTCCCGGGAATCCTCTGGGCAGGAGATGGTTTAAACAGAGGCTCCTGCTGCCCCAGAGGGTCTGCCTCACAGTCTCTGCTGAGAAGACCCCTAGACCAACCTGTCAGCCTCTGAGAACTGGCGGGGCCCTGGGAACTGTGGTTCCCCCGAGTGGGGCCCCAACCAGCTGCTGCAGCCCCACCTGTTAGGGACCCTGTTAGAAATGCCAATTCTCGGGCCCACCCAGACCTGCTGAACCAGAAGTGGGGTGTGGAGGCTGCACCTGTGTCTGAACACGCCCTCCAGGAGCTGCTGATGCAGGCAGAGCGTACGACCGCTGCCTGAGGGGGTGCTGCTCAATTCCATGGTCTGCAGGAGAGGAAACTCAAGCTCCCCGTGGCCACCCCACAGTGAGGACCCCAAGCCCCTTCTGGCTGGCCCAGGGTTCCCGCAGCTTCCCCTCCAGCACACCTGAAATGGGTTGGCCGAAGCCCGCCGTCTGGCCCCAGGTGGGTGGGATGTCAGCACCTGTGAGCACACCTGGGGTTGATCTTGGGGCTGGGCCCTGGGACTGGGACTGGCTCTGTGGGCAGAGCCAGGAGCCACCTGGGCCCCCAGCAGCACAGGCCCAAACCCAGTGGCTGGGGGGCCTTGGCTGGGAACCAGGTGGGGCTGAGTCGGCGGCTGGTCCTCTTGGCCCCTCAGCTGCTTCACTTCTCTCTCTTTCTCCAGCGGACAGGAAGGAGAAGGCCGCAGAGATGCCCGACTCCCCAGCCGAGGTGAAGACGCAGCCCCGGTCCACACCCCCCAGCATGCCGCCCCCGCCGCCCGCTGCGTCCCAGGGGACCCCACGGCACCCCTCCTTCACGCCCCACACAAGTGAGTAACCTCAGGCTGGGGCGCCAACCGGAGCAAAGCGGAGAGGCACCTCCGGGAGCCCCTCCAGTTGTTTGAGGCTCCGAACCCCGTTGCGAATGGAGCCGGTGCTGCAGTCCCTCCGCCCTGAGCCCAGAAATGCCCACCGTTGGGCCCTTGAGTAGGGAGCTCTCATCATGGCTCAGAGCCCAGGCTTTGAGGTTCAAATCCCAGCTCTCCTACTTTATAGCTGTGTGGCCTTGGGCAAGCTACTTGACCTCTCTGGGCCTGGCGTTCATCATGCATAAAGTGGGGCTGGGCATAGTCCCTGCCTCACGGGGCTGCTGTGAGGACAAGTGAGTTAATAGGAATTCTTACCCAGTGGCCGGCACATTGTGAGCCTTCCATCAAAGTGAGCTGTTATACCTGGAGCTCAGAGAGGGCCAGGGTCTTCCCCACGGTCACACAGCAGGTTACTTGAGTGCAGGTGAATTCCGTCGGTCCTGCACCCCACAAGAGGGCCCATCGGAGGTGGCTCTGGCCTTGGAGGAGCTCTGGGCTCGGATATCAGGGACTCTGCAGCTGGGCCTCAGCACAGGGTGAGGACTGGCCAGGAACTGGGGCCAGCAGGGGCCTCGGCTGCTGGTGATGTGGCAGACCAGACCCTAAGGCGGTGTCTCGCCAGCCCTGGGCAGACCCGGGTTGGGATCTTAGCACGCATGACAGCCCTGGGTGGGCTTCCGGGGTCCACAGCCACCATGGGAGCCCTGTTCCTTTGAGTCAGAGAAGTTGGCAACTCGGTGACTTTGGGTCCTGAGCAGCTGGGAAGAAGGAGGCCCCAGGCTCGGGCCATTGCAGGGGACAGTGTCCCCTGGCCCCTGAGATCAAGGGCTTCGCAGTGCATCCCCAGCGTTTCTGGCAGGCAAGGAGAGGATCCACGTGCCACCCCCAACCCCATGTTCAGAGGCTAGAGGCCCCACACCCAGGGACCCTTACCGGGCTTTGGAACCCAAGTGAAGCCCCACTCTGGGGAAGGAGGCTCAAACTCCGCAGCCTGGTGGCTCCTGGTCCCCACTGGGCCGAGAAGTAAGAGCTGCTTTGTTGCGTCCCCTTCTGCCCACCCAGGGCCCAGGGTGGACCGAGGGCCCAGTCTGGCTCCCTTATCCCTGGACATGAAGGATGCTGGTCCTGCCATCCAGGGCCCGGCAGCTGGCTCCATCAGGCTGGGGTGCTGGGCTATGGGGTCAGGTGGCCCAAGGTCAAGGCCAGGCTTAGTCCCTCGTTTGTAGGATATTGGCTTTGAGCCAGTCTCCTGACCCCTCTAAGCCTTGGTTTGGTAAATGGGGTGACACCACCTGTTCCAAGGTGTGGCTGCCTGAACGCACACGGTAGGAGCTTCACGGCCAAACACCCCTTCCTGCACCTTTGCCCGGCACAAAGGTTCTGGCTCTCCTTCATCTCGGTGCCCGTCTGAGCCAGGGTCCCCAGGCCCCACGTGTAGTGGACACGGGAATGGGGCCCCTGGCCCTGCTCCCTGCACCAGCACGGAGCCGGGAACCATGGAGGGCTTTGCACTCCGGCGTCCTCAGCGGTTCTCCCGAGGAGACGGTGGCCGGCTGGGCACCCCACCCAGCCCTCACCTCTGGGGTGAACCGCGGGCAGAGTCCCCGTCCACTACACAGGTGCCACCCTGTCCGGCCCCCGCAGGTCAAGAGGGGCGGCTCCTGCCTGGTTCCGCTTCAGCAGCAGCTCCCAAGAACCGCCAAGACCCCAGGCACCCACCTAAAACGACGCCCCTGCCCCCGTGTTGTTCGGTTCCAAGCAGGAGAAACCAGCAGACAGCTTGGCCATCTGGCCAAGGGCTCTGAACCAGGTTCCCTGACCCTTGTGGGCAGTCTCCCCTAGCCTACTTTCCCTCTTGGTCCAGGAGCCCATGTTCTGGAAAGCAGTGGTCTGGGAACCAGATGTTCCAGGTCGGGCCGGGGCTGGAATCGTCTGACACTGCCGGGCATGCTTCCATGAGGCCTGTGAGCAGATGTGCGGTGGCAGGCCTGTGTGAGGCTCGGGTCCCCCGCGCGCCCCCACCACCCCGCCGGCTCACGTCTCTGGAGTCAGGTCCCGGCTTTATGTAAAGAGCGTGGAGATTACGAGAGACAGGCTATTCTTTCTCTTCTCAGTCGACACTTTAGTTCCCTCGGGCTGCTGGGAGCATCCATCTGAGTCTCCAGCCACCTCCAAGGTGGCCTCAGATTTGTTCTCTAACCGTGGAATTCCCTGAAGGCGGGGTGGTTAAGCGCGTCCGTGCACCTGTCTGGTGGCAGCCCAATGGTCAGAGCCTCTGTGCTCAGCCAAGGATTCCTGCCCGAAGCCTCCCCATCTTCCCCAGGACTGGCCTGCGAGCCAAGCTGCCCAGAGACTGACCTTGAACGATGGCCTGAGGGCTGTGGGTTTTTTCCCAGTGACCACCCTGGACAAGCTCATTCTGGAGTTGAAGCTCTTCTGTGGCCAGGGAGGTGGGCAGGAGGGCTGAGAAGACTCTGGGAAGGAATGCAAGGAGCTGCTCTGCAGCTGGGAGGACCCTCAAAGGGCTAATGCTCCATCCTGCCCTTGATTACTCTTGTGACAGGGGGCTCACTCTTTGCTTACAGTGGTACAGCCTGTCTCCTTGAGGCTTCTGCCCACTAACCCAGCTCACAGAAATCAGATCTCTCTTCCTGTTCGGTGCTTCCTCCCCTCACAGTGGCTCCGTCCTGGACCTCATTTCAGAACCACTATTGGCTTGTCTGTTGATGGAGACTTCAAGCCCTGTGAGCTTGAGCTCAAGGTCCCTTGAGGACGGTGCCGAGTGGGGTCATCAGACACCTTGCAGGAAGAGAGCTTTTTAAGAACCAGGGTGTCCCACCCATGCCAATGGAGACACCGAAAGTCTTGTAGAGTCCTAGAAGGTCCCACAGAAATGGCCCTAAGAGATCCCCCGATCCCACCCTGTCGCTTTACAGAGGAGGAAACTGAGGCCCAAAGAAGGGAGTGGACTGGCCCAAGGTGGTGACAGAGTTCCGATCCCCAAAACTGCTGTCAAGAGGCAGAGGGGGGAGGGGCCGTCTACAGATGCCCTGTGGGGCCGAATCCTGTCCCCGCCGGCCCCTTTCCTGACAGCGTGTTTTTCTTATTTTGCTTACAGATCGAGAGGACGGGCCTGCGATGTCTCTGCCCCACGGCCGTTTTCATGGCTGCTTAAAATGGTCTATGGTCTGTCTTTGTAAGTAAAATAACAAAAACCGCAGGTCTCTGGGAGGTCCTCACCCAGCACCCGCTGCCTGGGAAGGCCGCCACAGTGCGCCCCCTGCCTGCATACCCCACTATTGCGTCTGCCTCCCTCAGAGAGGAGAGGGGTCTGAGGGGCAGGCCCAGGAGAGCAGAGCAGACGGGGTCCCCAAGTTCACACCCCAACCCTGTCCCTCACAAGCTGTGTGACTTTGGGCAGGTGGATGGTCTCTCTGAGCTTTCTTTTCCCCAACCACAAAGCAGGGCAAATAAGCCAGCTCCCAGAGTTGTGAGAAGGTCCCTGTTGATGGCGAGTCCGTCGCTCGGCCATCTCCAGGGCAGACCCCAGCCTGGGTCAAGTCCTAGCTCCTGCTCTTCCTGGCAGGGTGACCTTGGGCAGGTACCACCACCCGTGCCTCAGTTTCCCCACCTGTAAAGTGGAAGTCATCATGCAGCTGGGTGATTACAAGAGGCCATGAGATGCTGCTGGTCGCGTCGGCGGGAGGGCTGGCACGCACGGGGTGCTCAGCGGACACTGGTCACTAGTGGACGTTTCTGTCAAGGTGCTTGGGCCGCAGCTGGTGTCCGTAACGGAAGCTCTTATGGGGCTATGCTCAGCGAGGGCAGCCAGGCTCGGCCGTCAGGACAGGCCCCGACTCTAAGCCAGTTGGGCTGCACAGCGCAGGTGTGGCCGCCGCGTGGCTCGCGGCTCCCAGGGGGTGACGTGACAGTTGGGCGTTATTTATGTCCTGTGAGGCTGTCGCCCTCCTTGCCATTGTTCTGCGATGCGCCTGGCCTTGCTCTGGTGCCCGGCATGTCTGTGGAGCTGTGGCACTGTCAGGACCGTGTGACTTGTGTTGACGGTGACAATGGTGATTCCCAGCACCCAGGAGCCACCCCCGCAGCAGGGAGAGGGGCTGTTTGTGGGGTTCCTCATCCCAGCCCAACCCCTGTGCAGGACCCGGGGCTGGAGTAGCCATGGGGGCGCTAGCGTGTGCCCCCAAACCTCAGCTGGGGACACGTGTGTGGTCTAACTTAGTAACACACCTGTTGTGGGAATGGAAGCACTTGTGGCCGGGTTATTTTCGGCGTTCCTTTAGCAAGCTGCTGAGACTGCCCGGCAGCCCGCGGGAGGGAGCACGGGCGAGCGAGGGCAAGCAGGCTGCGGGAGGACCTGGGCGCCGAGGGCAAGCTGGTAAGGGAGCCGCAGGGAGGCCGGGCCCAGGCCAGGCCAGGGCCGGCGGGTGGGGGCCCAGGCGGCGTGGACAGCCGCACGTCTGAGGAGCCTCTGGAAGAAGGTCCAGACCCCAGATGATAGCCCAGCTCGCCGGAGAGCAGCAAGCCCCTGCTGTGGTGAGGTCTCCTGTGGCAGCAGGCTAGCTCCTGGCCTGGCTGGGTGACCACCAGTGGTTGTCATCAGTCTTGACCAGGGTGTGCGTGTGTGGGCGTCCACTGTGGGGTCAGCTGCAGCTCACCGTGAGAGGGAATGAACACAACAGCAGGTCTTCTGGTCTCTCTGAGGGTCCTCTGGATGGCGCCTCAGAGGGTGAAGGGCAGGGCTCTTCATGTCCTGTGTCTGGTGTTCGCTGTCCATCCAGAGTGACAGGGAAGGCCGGAGCAAGGCGCGCTGCTCCCGCGGGACTGTTCTAGAGCCGGGTGTCACATCTGGGCCAGAAGTTGCTTCTAGGATCATCCACACCAAGGGGACAAACAGGTTTCCTCTCGCACAGCGTCTCAGGGGAGGGAGCCTGGGAGAGGACTCGGGCCCAGGAGCGGTGCCGGGCTCCATTCCTATAGCCCGCCCTTCTCAGGAGAGGGGCAGCACATCGCTCGCCCTCAATCAGTGGTTTCCAAGCTTGTGCTAAGTAGGGGCCAGTTATTGACGAGCGATCATCCAGCATGTAAAACCAATCAGGTCGAGTGTTTCCGGTTCCTTCCAGTGGTGGAAGGACAAGCTGGTGGCTTCCGTGAGCCAGGGAAGCACAGAGCAGAAGGGGCCCAGGGACCCTGTCCTCTGGCCCCTGAGGCGCCACCTCTGGTTTGGGCCAAGGGCCATTTGCAGATGAAGAAACTGAGGCCAGGCCCCGAGTCTCACCCATGCAGCACGTCCAGGCTACTCCAGGTGGGTGCGGGCCTCAGGCAGGATGCCCGCTCCCAAAGGGTAGCTTATCACTTGCCCACAAGGGCAGAGGGCCATGTCTGCTGCTGAGGGCCTACTGTGCGCTGGGGTCAACCATGGGTGGGAGGCAGTCTTGGGAACCATATGGCTTGTGTGTGATGATGGCGAGCCTCGTCACCTGTGGATTAGGAGCCCAGCCCCTGGCCTGACGTAGCTGCTCAGTGAGGGGCTTTTGCAGGTGTCGCTGGCAGGCAGGTCAGCGGGGGTGATCTGGTCATCGAGGCTAGGGTGCAGGCAGTGTCTGGGCAGGGCAGAGCCGGCCAGACGGTAGCCTCAGGGTTAATAGAGGTCATTTACTGAAGGGCTCAGTGTGTGCGGAGGGGTGGGCTGGTTCCGGAGCCCATGGGAGACAGTGCAGCCCCAGGGCTGGTGACAGTGGGAGCCATGTACCCCTGGCCTGCAGGGGCGGGTGGAGAGAGTGACTGGGACCCAGGAGAGCCACAGGGTGGGAGTGCGAAGGCAGGAAGGAGGGGCCAGCATATGGACCCCCCCCACCTCGTGTGCTCCTACCCTTCCAGGCTGGGTGGGGCCAAGACAGTCAGCAGAGGTCACCCCCCAGGCCCAGGTCAGGATGGGCAGGGCGTGCATGGTCTGGAGGGACAAACTGGCACCCGCACCACCCAAAACAGGCAGGGTGAGCAGCAAACGTTCGTGGTGGCTCAGGAGGAGCCACAGCACAGAGCCAAGCCTGGTGGCGTCCCCATCCTGAAGAAAGGGGCTCCTGCTCCCCCATCTCCGCACACACAGGCCTCAGCCACAGGTCAGAGGAGATGGCTGGAGCCTCAGAGGAATTCAGCCCTGAGGGGGCGGCGGCTCTGAGCCGTGCCTCACTCCCAGACCCCACACTTTCAGCAAGGTGTGAGAGCAGGTGTCCTGTGCAGGAGGGGCAAGGCACGGGCCTCGTGGGCCACGGCTGAGTGACCGGGAGAGGTGTGTGTGCACACATGTGGACGTGCATGTGCACAAGTGTGCGTATATGTGTGAGTGTGCACAGACGTGTGTGTTGTGCATGTGCATGTGAGTGTGCATGTATGTGAGTGTGCGTGTGTGGGGCTGCACTGTACGTGTGTGCATTTGTGTGTGCACATGCATATAGGCATGTGTGTGCACGCATGCATGAGGGTGCATGTACGTGTCTGCACATGTGACTGCATGCATTTATGTGTGTGCATGCATGTGTGCGAGTGGGTGTGCAGGTGCTGACGGAAGGCATGGAGTTGGGGAGTGGAGAGCATGTGCAAGGGAATGGGGGTTCGGAACAGTCGCGTAGGGAGTACACACATGTACAGGCGAATGAGGGTGCAAGGGCCAGAGTGTGCTCATGTAAGCAAGCTAGCCTGGAGCAGATGCTTGTGTGGCCGGCCAAGGGGGTGAGGCATGACTGGGCACCAGGTTTAGCAGACGTTCCTCCAGCCTCACAGAGGTGTCCAGTCTCCCATCCCTCGTCCAGAGCCCCCTCCACCATCCCCAAGGGCCCAGGGAACCCATGACCTCTGAACTCCCTGCAGACCCTGGAGGTTGGGGCTCCAGCTCCTGAGACCAGGGAACCGGGATGCAGATGACTGGGCACAGGAGGGCTCCCCCAGCTTCCAGTGTGAAGGCTCAGCCTTTCCCTCCATCACCTGAGTTTGAGGGACAGCGTCCTGCCCCAGGACCATTTCACAGCAATCCCGGCATCTGCCAGCCCTGGAAAACTGACCCCAGTGGCAAGGCCTCAGTGACCGACAGTGCTGCCCTGGGGCCCCTGTAGTGTGCTCATCGCGAGTCCCTTATGCTACCCGCTTATCCTCCACACACAGCCAGGGGCCCATGTGCACGCATGTCTGCACGCACTGCAGCCCCACAGAGCAGCTGGCCCAGCGCCTCCCCTGCCAGGATCCAGCATCACTTGCCCCGGGGAGTCCTGGTCCCTCTGCCTCACCCCGAGCCCCGTCCACCTGGGCATTGGGGCCCTCGTGCAGGCAACAGTGCCTGTGTGGGAGAGGGGCACTGCTCATGGCCATCATGGCAGAGGTGGGGGTCACTGGCCTTTAAGGGGGGACAAGTGGCCTCTCCCTGCAAGAGGGGAAGTGGACTGGTGGGTCCCTAGTGGTGGAGAAGACCTCCGCCTGCTCACAGTGGACATCGAGCAGCCTGGCTGGGAGGTGGGCGTCTGCCAGGCTGGTGTGGGGGCCCTGGTGTCCTCCTGGGTGTGAGGGGGCCGGGGGCTGGCCCGGTGGCGTAGTGGTTAAGTGCGCAAGCTCTGCTTTGGCGGCCCGGGGTTCGCAAGTTCAGATCCCAGGCGTGGACCTACACACCGCTTGTCAAGCCATGCTGTGGCGGCGTCCTACGTATAAAGTAGAGGAAGACGGGCACAGATGTTAGCCTGGGGCCAGTCTTCCTCAGCAAAAAGAGGAGAATTGGTGACAGATGTTAGCTCAGGGCTAATCTTCCTCACCGAAAAAAAAAAAAGAACAAGGCCAAAGGGACTGTGCCACGTCCCACCCACTGGGGACTTGGGGCACAGCCATGCCTCTGTAGACCCTGGTGTGCACACCTGTCAGCGTGTCGGTGCCCCCGTGGCAGCTCCCCGCTGTCCTCACGCCCCCCTCTCCCCACAGTGATGAACGGCAGCACACACTCGCCAACAGCCATCAACGGCACCCCGTCCACGCCCAACGGCTCCAGCAATGGCCCGGCCACCTCGTCCACAGCCTCGCTGTCCACGCAGCACCTGCCCCCGGCCTGCGGGGCGCGGCAGTTGAGCAAGCTGAAGCGCTTCCTCACCACCCTGCAGCAGTTCGGCAGCGACATCTCCCCGGAGATCGGGGAGCGCGTGCGCACACTGGTGCTGGGGCTCGTGGTAAGTCGGTGGCCGGGCCCCGGAGGCTGTGTCCCGGCCATGCCAGCCCTCGGGCCTCCTGCCCCTGGGCTGGCGGGCGGGGCTCAGCTGACGCTCCGTGCATTTTGTCCCCTCAGAACTCCACGCTGACCATTGAGGAGTTTCATTCCAAGCTCCAGGAGGCCACTAACTTCCCGCTGCGGCCTTTCGTCATCCCCTTCCTGAAGGTATGGACAACCCATCTCCCCTCGTGGTGGGGGCCTCCCCCGGGATCCTGAGTCCACTCCCTGCAGGCTCTGATCGGGCATCGCTCTCAGCCTCCCCAGACCCGGTGGCTCCCCCGTGCCCTGGAAGATGGTGCTAGCCAGTCAGGACGGACTCCTACTAGTTAAGGCTGCGAACTAGTTGCCAGACTGGATTAGTGGCCACCAAACCCAGTGCTCTAAGACAGAGCTCCCCAAATCAGTCCTGTTATGATTGGCCAAATGCAGTCATCCACTTGACAGCTATTTTTTGAGTACCTACTATGTGCTGGATACTGTCAAGTCTCAAGGATCCAGCTGTGAGCAAAGAGGCCAAGTCCCTTGTGGAGCCAACACCCTGGTGGGAGAGAAGGCGGTCAGCCAACCATGGCTCTAGGATCTGTGGAGATGTGTGCCAGGACCACAAGGAGGGGGCATTTTGAGGAGGGTGAAGGAGGGAACCAGGTGGACAGCAGAGGACAGAGCCTTCCAGGTACCAGAGATAGCACGTGCAAAGGCCCTGAGGCAGGAGGCACAGTGAGGGGGCCGTGTGGCTAGAACAGAGTTGGGGGAGAGGGACAGATGTGGGGATAGGTGGGGGGTGGTTGTGTGGCTGGGCAGACAGATGGACGAATGGGTGTCAGGTGAAAAGAGGGTCGTGTGGTCAAACACAGAAGACAAACAATGGACCATGGCCTCTCAGCCAGAATAATTCGTGTTGGACTGGGAATAGCAGCACCAGGCGCTTGTGAGCAATGCAGGCTCCCAGGCCCAGCCCAGAGCCACTGAATCAGACTCTGCATCTTAACAAGGTGCTGGGCATGTGAGTGCACACAGACGGGACGAGCACAGGTCCCGGCCGCGTTGGACCAGTGTCTTCACTGCAGGACTTCTCAGGGCCTTCACTCCCCCAGGGTCGTGCATCTCCCAGGGAGCGTAGAGATGAAATGCTTCCCAAATGTGATTGACCTTGCGACCCTTCGCTGCCATCCCCTGCCCGAGGTCAGGGCCCCGCAGAGCTCACTTGGGAGGTGCCCACCTGGAGTGTCACCGGCCTCCCCCACGGGGTTCTCATTTCCCCGGGGCCTGCGCAATGCCCGGCCGTGGGCCCTGCTCACCTGCACGGCTGGGCCCTGGTGGGGGCTGCCTTCCAGAGGGTCTTGAGGACCAGACCAGACGCTCCCAGGCTTGAGCCCCGACCCTGCCACTTAGCCCCCATTGGTCTGGGCCAAGCTAGTTCCCCCTGGGCCTTGGTTTCCGCAGCCGCGCCGGGGGAACCACTCTCGGGCTGTGGAGAAGGTTGCGTGAAGTGTCGCATGTAAAGAATTTGGCTCCCGTTTGTTCCCCTTGTATGTCATCATCCAGGGATTTCAAGCATTCCCCAGGCAAGGCCTGCTGTGCAGAACTCTTTCACAGCTGCCTTTGCTGAGCCCCCAGTTGCCCCTGGAGGGGCAGCCCAGGCCCAACCACTGTTCCCAGTTAACAGTGGGGAAACGGAGGCGCTGAGGCCCCCCTGGTGCTGAGATGGAGCCAAGGCTGGAACCTGGATCCCTCAGACTCCAAACCCACTGGCCTTCTCAGGGCACGCCCCAGGCCGCCACTGTGTCCCCCGCGGTACCTCGCCAAGGGGACCCCACTTTGCATCCCCATATCCGCTCCCTCCCCCCTCCTTCCTGCCCTCTGCCCACACCCTGCTGTGCTCACACTCCTGAGCTAGACAGAGAAGCTGCTGGCTGGGACGGAGCGAGGGTTTGGGCCCATCTGGCAGTCATTGCAAGTCATTACGAGCCCTCCCTTCCCTCCGCTCCTCCTCTCAACTCACTGCGGGCCCCACCGCTCCCCATCTTTGGGAACACACTGCGCTTGCTTACTCCATCAGATCAAATATTTACAGCAGATATCCCGCCCGTGTCAGCTGACCTTGTTTATCTGAGGAGCCAGGGCAGGGAAAACATCCCGAGTCCCCGCTCTGCCCCCTGTCCCCTGCGTCGTCGCACCCCAGCATCTTCCAAACACGACGTGGCAGCACAGCGCCAGACGGGAGAGGCCCGGCCTCGCAGGGCCACCGGGGTACCTCTGCCCACAGCAGCCCTCACAGGGCTATTGGGGCTTTCACGCCTGAATTGCTCTTATGGTAATCAGGGCCAGCTGGGGTGAGGGCCCCCCCACCCCCGCCTTGCCTTGTGCCAGTGACCACACCCAGGGCCCTGGACATGGAGTCCACTTGTCTCCCTGCCGTGCAGCTCCTCGGGCGCCACCAGTTCTGTTTCCAGGGCTTGTTGACGAGGCGCCAGCTGGAGCCCTAGCCCTGAGGTCCTGCCTGGGGAGTAGCCCCCACCCGGCTCATTGTGGGAGCCTCGGCAGTGTTAGAACACAGGGCGCTCGCTGCAGGGAAGCCAGCGAGACTGCCCCCTGCCCAGCCCGCTGTGCGACCTCGGTTTCCTCGCCTGTGACCCGGGCTGCAGCAGTGGTTGCATCTTCCTGAGGACTCTCGGGGTACCAGGCCCCCTACATGGGAAATAGCAGCGCACCCTCGTGGCGGCCCTCGGAGCCTCATCCCATTCAAGAGGCAGGAGCCATGCCGCCAGTGCAGCTCAGGCTGCCCACCTGGCTCAAACCCCAGCTCCAGCTCTGGGTTTCTGAGAAACTCCAGACCTTATTCTCTCTGATCACCGGGGATGAGACAGCCCACCTCATGGTGGGTGGATGAGTTGATTCCTACGGAGCTCACAGGAGCCCTCACCCCAGGGCAGGAGGAAGGGGAGTGTCCCACAGCTCCAGTTGCAGATCAGGCAGAAGTCAGAGAAGTTAAGTGACTTGCCCATGGTCACACAGCAAAGCCAGGGTGGGCTGACCACAGAGCCCACAGTCGCGCAAGCTGTGTGGGCATTCTGTGAGGCGCTTGGCAAAGCAGTGGGAACACCACAAACCCTTGGTGAGTGGGAGACATCAGCTCAACAACACCAGATTGCGGCTATTTTTGCAAACACCAATTTCCCTCTGGCCTGAGTTCCCATCTGTGACGAGGATAGTTCCAGGCTTTTCCGCATCATCAGAAACTTCGTTCACACGTGAAGTTGGGGTCCAGAGGGCTTTTGTGACCAACACAGTCTGTCCAGCCTCTCAGTGGCAAGACCTCCTGGGCGCCCTGGGCCCTGGAGACAGAATGAGGACCGCTGCCCCCAGGAGATCTGCGAGACGAGGCTCTCCGCAGACTCAACCCATTTCTTCTGGGCTGGGGTCCCGCTCCCCCAGCCAAGGGCCTGGGGTCCCCTGCAACCCTCCGCCCCAGAGCCCGACCCTGTGCACAGCCGAGTGGTGGGGCTTTCCAGAAGCCAGGAGACGCTGCCCCGCCCGCCTGGCCTCCACCCTCGGCCCCGGCTCCCAGCTGGCCCCAGCCGGCCAGGAATCCAGATGTTTCCACCGCCCTGACAGCGACCAGCCGGTGCCAAGGGGAGGCCATGTGGGAGAGGAGGGGCCGGCAAGGGAGAGGAGGATGTTTGGCGTCTTCAGACCTCCCGGGACCTCCTTTCCCAGCTCACGCTCCCAACGTGTTCGACAGATGGCGGGCTGGCCCCGGTTCAGCTATCCAAATAGAAAAACAGACCCGGCAGCAGGCACTGCTTGACAAAAATGCCTCGGCTGCTTGATCCGGTCGGGTGGATGCGCTAATGGGGGCTGGGGAGGCAGAGGCTGGAGAAGGCCGCCGTGGCAGCTTTGAAATGCTATGAGAAAGTTGGGGAATTGTCTTTATTTACAAATACATAGAACTCTGGCTCTCCCAAGTGGCCTGCTGCTGGGCCCCCATCCAGCTTGCCCCATCAAGGCAGCTCTGGGAATCTCTGTGGTAGGGGCTGAGGAGCTGTTGCAGCCCAGCAGTGCAGGCCCGGAGGCCCCGGATGCAGGAGGGCACAGCGGTCACACACCGGCCTTACAGGCGGGGTCTGCGTTTGAACCTTGTGACCACCCCCCATGTCATTCCACCCCTGTGCCCTCATGTCCTTACTCATAAATGTGGAACCAGGTCATCAAGTCCATCCCCTATGGTTGTGAGGACCATGGGAGGTGACAGGCGTCACCACTGCTCAGAGCAGTGTGGGCATGCTAATGCACATAGTCCAACCTCCAAGCTTGGTTCAGGGCCTGGCTGGGGACCCGCAGGAAGTGGGAGGGCGGGGGCTGACTCCAAGGGTCTTCCCACAGGCTCCCATTGGGGTCCTGCTCCCAGCTCCTCCATTTACAGTCAGCTGTGGGCAGGGCTGCCTGCTGCCCTTCTCTAAGCCTCGGTTGCCTCCTCCACACGATGGGGAATCATGCCTGCTTCCACGGGCACAGGCCAGGAATCCCCGTCATGATGCCCTCCTCACCGGCTCCAGGCCCACCTTGGGAGGCAGGGAGCCTGGTGAGGTGGAAAATCCCCAGCCTGGGAGTCCGGGATCTGGGCTCCATCAGCAGCGAGTCCAAGGCCCCTTTCCCCGCCCCCACAGGCAAACCTGCCCTTGCTGCAGCGGGAGCTCCTGCACTGTGCCCGCCTGGCTAAGCAGACCCCCGCCCAGTACCTGGCCCAGCACGAGCAGCTCCTGCTGGATGCCAATGCCTCCTCCCCCATCGACTCCTCGGAGATCCTGCTGGAAGTCAATGAGAACGGCAAGAGGAGAACCCCTGACAGGTACCTCTGGGGTCTTTCTGTGGCGAGGGAGGGAGACAGCGGAGGGCTCCCTCCCTGCCTGACTCTTGACTCTTGACTCTTGAGAGCTACCTTCGGTACCACAGCTCAGCAGGCACCCTAGTTCCAGGGCTGAGACAATGCAAGTCGATACGATGTTGCATTCTGTGGCCCATAGCTAGTGGGCTGGTAAAGTTCAGCCTTACCTGCAAGGCCACTGCACAGGCTGAAGCACCAAGAGGCTGCGCTGTCGGGCTTTGGGGAGCCCTCCTGAGGACTGTGATGCCCCCCTGGGTGGGCAAGGGAAGAGGCAGGAGGGAGTCTGTCTGCAGGAAATTCTCTGGCTATTCCCTTTGGGCTAGTTGTGGGCCAGAGTGTCCAGGAGCCCGAGGTCCCAGGCACCCGAGCTGGCCCTTAACTGCTGAGTGACACAGTTGGGTGTCTTCCTCTCCTGTTCTCTCAACAGAGGCTCAGGCTTCTTGACTACTGGTCCCCAGGAGCCCGCACACCAGGGGCAGTGTTCAAGGCTGGCAGGAGCCACAGAGAAGGAGGGAAGGGAGTCTAATCTCTCCTCTTGCCCATTTCTCTGTCTCTGTCTCCCTCTCACTCTGTCTCTTTCTCTCTGCCACACCCTCTGTCTCCCTCTCACCCTTCCTGCTGGATCTCTGTTCATGCTCGTGGTCCCATGACCAATTGCTTCCCGCCTGCTCTTTGGGCCAGGACCAAAGAGAATGGGTCAGACCGCGACCCGTTGCACCCCGACCACCTCGGCAAACGGCATTGCACCCTGAGCCCCGCCCAGAGATACAGCCCGAGCAATGGGCTGCCCCACCCCACGCCGCCACCGCACTACCGCCTGGAGGACATGGCCATGGCCCACCACTTCCGTGACTCCTACCGTCACCCTGACCCCCGGGAGCTCCGGGAGCACCACCGGCAGCTCGGTGAGCAGTGTGCTGGGGGGCAGGGGTGTGGGCATATGTGTGCATGTTAGCTGGAGCACCCGTGTGCTTGCCTGTGTGTGTGGGGAGCATCCAAGAGCTGCCATGTGCGCGTGTCTGTCTGGGAAGGACGCTGAGGAAGTGGGTGTAGTAATGGATTTGAGTGGGGAGCCTCACCCTGGCTGGGCTGTGCCCGGAAGCCTGAAGTAGAGCCTCCAGACCTCTGTCTAGGGGGCATCCCCACCTTCAGGGCCTGGAAGGCCTCTCTCTCCCCAGGGGTGGGCTGTGGCTGTGCCTGTGCCTGTCCTGGGGCCCAGCTGGGCAGGGGCAGGTACAGGCTTAGGGAACCTAGAACCACTCACCTTGAGGAGCACTGGCCACCTGCTGGGCACACAGCCTTGAGTTGCCCACAGTCCCTGCATAGGGTGTTCATCTCCTTATAGAGACAAGAAGAGGGAGGCTGCCGGGCTCTGCATGGGGCACAGGGACGGTGGTAAATTAGGTTTCTGGACCCAATTTCCATGTGCCCTACAATTCGACTCAGATCTGACACTGTCTACCTGGAGATAGTGTCAGATCCCCCACGTTAAGGGTTCTGTCTACAAGACTGCCTTCAGATGCCAGTCGCTGCAAGTCTAGGTTGTCACCTGGGCTTCTGACAGACTGGCTCTGGATCAGAGGTTCCCACGACCCCTTCCCCAGGTTCGATTACTTTGCAGAGCGGCTCACAGAACTCACAGAAACAGTTTACTCACTAGATCACCGGTTTATTTTAAAAGATGTGATTCAGCAACAGCCAGATGGAAGAGATACAAAGGGCTATGTATGGGGAAGGGGTGAGGAGCTTCCATGCTCTCCAGGCACCACCCTCCCAAATCTCTACGTGTTCACCAACCTGGAAGCTCTCCAAACCCAGCCCTTTGGGTTCTTATGGAGCTTCATTGTGTGTCATTGGCCATTGGTGATGGACCCAACCTCCAGCCTCTCTCCACTCCCGGAGGTCAGGGGGTAGGGCTGAAAGTTCCCACCCTCTGATCACCTGAGTGGCTCCACTGGCAACCAGCCAGTCACCCTTCAGTGGGGTCCAAAAGTTGCCTCATTAATATAACAAAAGACATCTGTGTCACTCTCGATACTTAGGAAGTTCCGAGGGTTTTGGGAGCTGTGAGCCAAGAACGGTGGATGAAGATCAGACATATATAAGAAATATATTTTAGTCATCTGAATGACCAAATATATATTTCTCATAAATCACATATCTCAGGTGGGGTGGCTGGGCCAGCCAGGAAGACACCCATTTATGGGCGGGTGGGCGGGCAAGGCCTGGCACGTGAGGGGTCCCCAGGTCACAGGAGCTGCAGCCCCTGCCTCGAAGGCACTCGTGCAAGGCCTGTGGTTGAGAGCAGGGCTCCAGAGCGGACCGCCTGGGCCTCCAAGCTCTGCAGATCCCGCACGGTGAGCCCTTGCCAGGTCACATGATGTCCGTGCCTCAGTTTCCTCCTCTGTCAGCTGGGTCTAACAGGAGTCCCACCCCTCAGGTGGTGTGAGGACGGAGGGAGTTAACACAGGGCCCAGCACAGAGTGGGCGCTGAGAGGCCCAGCTGTTCTGGGTGATGGCAGTGGCAGCCTGGGGCGGAGCACTCACTTCTCGCCTCCAGTGTCCTCAGTGCGCAAAGGTGGCACGCCTGAAAGGTGCTGGTACTGTGCGACATGTTAGCACACCCAAATCACAGATGGGGAGGCTGAGGCCCAGAGACGCAACTGACATGCCCACAGCCTTCTAGCCGCATCTGCCTGACCCTGCGACCTTCCTCTGTGCTGGGGACAAAGATGAATAGGACTGCCTGCCCCAGGGCCCCCAGTGTACTGTGGGGGACAACTGGGAACAGCCACCCCTGAGACAGAGGCCCAAGGCACCGATGGGGGCCCAGAGGCAGGGTCAGCAGAGGCCTCGCCCCCTACAAGGCTGTCTCCCTGCCTCCACCCTGCGGAAGCTTCTAGGGCCCAGGCCCAGGTGGCAGGTGACAGCGTCTGGCTCCCTGCAGCCGGGTCAGGCAGGTGCTAAGTACCCCCCCCCCGCACCCCACTTCTGCTAATGCAAAAATGAACGCCAGCTGTCGGGAAGGTCGCAGCCACTATGTTGGTTGGGGTGTTGGTGCAGGCCTCCGTTCCTTGGGCGGCAGGGCAGGGCGGTGGACAGCCAACTGTGGCCGCCACCTCCCACCCTTCTGCAATTTGGGAAGGCATTTTGGGTTTGGGGGTCTAGGAGATCCTTAGGGGCTGAAAAAGGCCTAAATAGAGAGACCTCAGCCAAAAAGCATCAGTAGTGCTGGGTCACCCAGCACAGGCTTGGGGCACCGCCAGGGCGGGAGCACCCGAAACACCGGGAGTGAGAGCATTTGATATTCCAAAAATCGTAGGCAGGGCCATCGTGAGGGCAGTCGATGCCGTTGCCCCCACGCCCATTTCTCAGCTCACAGCTGATTTGTTTCTGATCACCGGGGTGGGGGCACCCAATTGTTTCAGTCCCTGGAGCTGAACCAGCCAGGGGCTGAGGGTGCGCTCGCTCCGGCTCAGGCCAACGACCCTTCACCAGCCTCGGTTTCCTCATCTGTAAAAAGGGAGTGACAACAGAGAGCCCCTCGGAGGCTGACGCAGGGGTGGAAGGAGTGGGGCACTTAGTACAGCCTGCTCAGTACCCGGGCTCCCCCACAACGCGCCTCCTGAAGGTCTTCTCCCACCCCCAGGGGGTAGGCAGGGTGGGGAAACTGAGTCACAGAGAGGTGAGAGAAGGGGCCTGGGGCCCATGGGGAATGAGTGTGGGGACATCTGGCTTTGCTGACCCACCATCTCCCTGTGGAGCTGGCAGTGTGGCCAGGAGACCACATTGGACCAGCTCACTGAGACCCAGCAGATAGGCTGGAGCACCTCCTCTTGCCTGGCCGGAGCTTGGCCCAGGGGACACAGAGGTGAACGCAGCATATCAGCCCTGTCCTGGGGACTGACACAGCCTGTTGAGGGGACCAAGAATAGACAAGGAAGTGCCTGCAATTACTAAACAACCAGAGATACATGAGGCTCAAGGAATTTTAGGGCCCATGGCTGCTGACAGGGAGGGGCCTATGACCGGGCTTTGAGGGATGCATAGGAGTCCAGCTGGCTGAGAGGAAGTAGTAAAGCATGGGCTGGAGCTGGGCAGCCACAAGGAGCCCCTGAGGGCTTTTGAGCAGTGGTGGGACCCTCAAAGTGAGGTCTGAGGCAGCTTTGGTTCACAGCAGGGGACAGAAAAATGAGGGTGGCTGGATTTGGATGCAGGGAGGTGGGGAGGGATGGCCGAGGCTAGACAGAGGGGTGGGGAGATGGTCTCTTCTTCCCAAGCGTTGACTAGAGGCCAAGCCTGTTCCTGACTGCCCCCAGGGCAGAGGGCAGAGGGCCAGTGCCCGGAGTCTCCTTCCTCACTCTCTCCATCTTCCCTAGGTGGGCACAGCCCAGAGACAGGGCCTGGGGGCACTGGGGGTGCTGGAAGCACGAGGCGGGGCCTGGTGGCACAGGGCAGGGCTGGGGAGCACTGGACGGGGCCTGGGAGTCCTGAATGGGGCCTGGAGGCCTGGGGCTGGGCCTAGGGGCACTGGCTGGTCCTGAGCGTCAACTCTCCTCCTGTAGCGGTGCTCGGGTCCCGGCAGGAGGAGGTGATCGACCACAGGCTCACAGAGCGTGAGTGGGCCGAGGAATGGAAGCACCTCAACAACGTGAGTGTCCAGGCCCGGGGCCCACTGGTGCCACAGCAGCTCCGAGGGCTCTGCCCAACCTGTAGGGGCCTGGGGCTGTGGGGGACAGGGCTTGGTGTGGCTCCCTTGGCTCTCTGCCCCCATCTCAGCCCACCCGGCCACTTCTGATGACCACTCAGAATCTGCCCTTCTCTGCCCCGCAGCATGTCTCCCGCAAGAAGGGGCTTGGAGTGGGGTGGGGCCCCTTCAACACCATTCTGGGGGTCCCCTCACCCTGCTCCCTTTTAGGGGGGAGCCCAGGCAGAAGGTACAGTCCTCAGAGAGGGGCAAACCACACCTTGAGGGTCGAAGGAGAGCCCAAGCCCCTGCCTTTGGGCAAGCTCTCCCGTGAGTCTGGGGCCCCGACTCTCAGGAGTCCGGGCAGAAACTAGGCGGCCATCCCCAGCCCCCATCCCAGCTGCTCAGGTGTCTTCCAGGCAGTGGAAGTGGGTTTTCATGCCCTGCGCCACAGACAGCAGGCTGGCCGAGGCCCAGGAGTGTGGGACTAGATCCCCTGGCTGTCCTCCTCCGTGCGGAGTGGCCACACCCGGCCCCCGAGTGCTCACAGCTGCCTGCGTGCTCACGGCCGCCCACAGCTCCTGAACTGCATCATGGACATGGCGGAGAAGACGCGGCGGTCGCTGACCGTGCTGCGCCGGTGCCAGGAGGCTGACCGCGAGGAGCTCAACCACTGGATGCGGCGCTACAGTGACGCCGAGGACACCAAGAAGGGGCCCGAGCCCGCCACGAACCGGCCCCTTAACAGCTCCACAAGTGCAGAGGGGTCTCAGCTAGGTGTGTGCTGGGGGCAGCGTGGGGGCTGTGGGAGGGGTGCTGCGGGGGCCCCGAGGACCGAGGCCAGTGCCCGGGAGACCAAGGCCCTCGGGCTGGTGCTGCCATAGAACGTGCCCTGGACAGTTTCCCTTGGAGAAAAGTGCCCTTTCTGCTCTGTGCAGACACCGCCTGCCCTGCTGGAAGCCCAGACTCATGGCTCCGGCCCTTCCGGGGGCTCAGAGCTGGGAGCCCTGGGTCTCTGCTTTTCCCTCTGGATGAGACTGTGGAAACTGACAGGCCCAGCTCCCAGCCAATTCCACGGTCCATCGGCCCCAGAGTAGCCCCTCCCTGACATGGCCCTGCCCCCACCCAGCCACTGGTACAGGGTTTCCACCCGTGGGTACCTCGGGGACCCCCCAAGAACACAGAGCTGCCCCTGTGGCCCCGTCCTGTGCGTGACGCTGGCCCCCTGTGTTTCAGACGTCCACCGGGAGTTCATGCCGAGGACCCTGTCCGGCTACATGCCAGAGGAGATCTGGAGGAAGGCTGGTATGTGAGCACAGCCGGGGGAAGGGAGCTGGAGGGGGGCTGGGGCCCCAGACCCCATCGCCCTCTCTGTCTATGAGGAGCTTCTGTCTGCGTAGGGGCTCAGCTGGGCTCCCAGCTCATGACAGAGCGCACAGGACTTTATAGACCCTGTCACACAGGGCTACTGGGAGGGGTCGGAGTGCGTTCGGTATTCAGGGCAGGACGATCACCACCAACATCTGCCAGTGAACAAGCGTGTCACTCAGCAGGACAAAGTGGGTCCTCGGGCCCAGTGCGCACTTGCGTGTGCACAGACACCCAGACACGTGAGAGAAGCCCTTAGAGCTGGAGTCCCTGTGACCTTCTGGGTGTAGCATCGAGCACGGTGCCGGGGGAACAGACTGTGGGGAGGGCCGGGCAGCAGCAGGAGCCCAGGGATGGAGAGGACCAGGCAGGGTCGGACGAGGTGGCAGCAGTGGAGAGAGGAGGTAGGGTCACACGTGCATTGTGATTTGCGGGTGGATTCACCGTGTAAGGAAGACGAAGGAAAATGTCAAGATCTAGAGAGCAGAGAGCGTGGAGGGTCCCAGCCCAGAGCTGGAGGCTGAGGGGCCACAGACGGGCATCAGCTGCCTAGAGCGAGGCAGGAGCATGGGGGTCCTCCCTTCTCTTCTCCTCTGTCTGGCCCATGGCAGGGCTTTATGGGACCCTTGGTGACATCCACGTCGAGCTCAGGTGGTGACGTGGGGGCAGTCGGCCACAGCCAGCACTGCCAGCAGTTCAGCACACACCCAGTGTGCATACACTTGGATGCGAGGCTCGTGGGCCATCTCGGCCCCTTAAACGGGAGCACTACTTAATCCCACCCCAGCCTCCCTCACGCCACGCTGCAAGGACAGAGCTGCTAGGTAAACAGAGGCAGGCCTGAAAGCCCTTGGGGGGGTCAGCGGGGGCTGGAGGCCCTGTCGTTCCCAATGTCAGAGGGTATGGTACAGTCTGAGTAGACACTCCAGCCTCAGCGGGACAGCTCAGCTCACAACAGCGAACACCGGGAATAGTGCGCTTAATCTTCAGACGGAAGCAGCCAGAGGTAGCGAGTATGGGGGAGATGAGTGGAGGCTGTGGGGTAATAACAAGGCAGAGGCCGGATGGGGTATTCCCTGACCTCTTCTGGATGGGCTGCAGGGGAAGGCGGGCTGTCTATGGGGCAAAACAGTACAGCTGTGGTTCTCCAGGTGGACGCTGGGACCCCCAGCATCAGCAGCACCTGGAACCTGTTAGGAATGCAGATTCTCGGGCCCCCAGGCCTGCTGAGTCTGAAGCTGGGGGTGAGGCCAAGTGAATCCTCGCCCTCACCCTCGAGGGCCCACTGCGTGCTGGGGTTTGAGAACACCACGGTAGAGGACGAGCTTTGGAGAGTCCCTCACTAGCTTGCACACACGTGCTGGGAGGCACAGGATCATTTGTGCACAGGCCCTGCCCCCAGGCTTGTGGGCGGCGAGGCCCCACATGATGATGGCCATGGCATCGTTGCAGAGGAGGCAGTGAACGAGGTGAAGCGGCAGGCGATGTCGGAGCTACAGAAAGCCGTGTCGGACGCGGAGCGGAAGGCCCACGAGCTCATCAGCACGGAGCGTGCCAAGATGGAGCGGGCCCTGGCCGAGGCCCGGCGGCAGGCCTCAGAGGACGCCCTGACTGTCGTCAACCAGCAGGAGGACTCCAGCGAGGTAGGGCCGCCCGCCCACCCCATACCCTGTCCCCGCCTCTTGGTCTTGGGCCAGAACTCCCTCTCTGCTGCCTCCCAGTGGAGCGACCTGAGCAGCCCAGTGAGCTCTCTGGGCCTCCTGACCACACACCGCCTGGTGAGGCAGGTCCTGTGGGCATCCCCACTGTACAGATGTGGAAACTGAGGGCTCCAGAGAGTAGGCACTCCCCCCAGGCCACACCTAGGAAGCAGTGGGGCTGTTATCCAAACCTAGGCTGGCAGAGGCCAAAGCCCGAGATCTCTAAGCTGTGAAAGCAGGAGGCACACAGAGAGGTGCGAAGACCCCAGGTGGTCTCAGCTCCTGGCGCACATGTACACAGGAAGGGCAAGAGAGTTATCGTCATGCTGGTGGGCTGGGCTGGGCCCAGCAGGACGGGTGCAGGGGGCCCCTCAGTGACCCACTTCCTCCTTGTCGGACAAGAACTCGGACAGCAGAGAAGTGGGGGAGAGGGAGAGACCCTTCCCAGGGGGGTCCTCAGACTGTCCTTCCGGGAAGGGGCACTTCTCCAAAACCCCCTGGATACGCCAGTGCCTGGGCCAGCCCTGAGGCGGGGAGCGGAGGAGCGGGTTCCCCATCGATTCAGGCGTCTCTACACCAGCTCTCTCAACAGACGCCCTCAGCTAGAACAGAACAGACAGCTCTCGGGGAGGGACATCAGTGGGGGAGGGAGAGTCAGCTGTTCCAGGCGGTGACCACACGTGTATAGGAAGGTGGGGTGGCAGGGAAGGCTCACGCAGGGACATCTGAGCATCCTGGAGGAAGTGAGCTGGCCATGCAGGAATCTGGGGGCACAGTTCCATCCCTGTGGCGGGAGCGCAGGGACAGAGACCAGGGTGGGGGCATCCCTGGAAGAGTGAGGACCACAGGGAGGCTGGTGTGGCTGCATAGAGCAAGCCAGGGGAGAGAAGGAGGGGCTGGGGTCTGAGAGGCGTTGGAGGCTAAGTAGGTGCTTGGACCTTTCTCCCAGGGCGGCGTGGGCTTCCCTGTCCCACCACCCGGGCTGCCTACCTTCTGCTCACGTGGGCAGCTGAGGTTACTGCTCATTCCACGGAAAGGGAGCAGAGGCCCATGGTAGGGGAAGGACGTGACCCAGGCAGGCCTGGCTGTGCATCACGTGGCAGCCTGGCAGGAGGGCTTCCTGGAGGAGAGGGCAAGGGCTGTGGCTCCCTGCCGTCTGAGGACCCCGTGGTCCTGTAAGCACACCGTGAACCTGTCTGGGGTGGGCTGGAGTTGTGCAACACAGTAGCGGGAGCCCGTCCCCCCAAAATGGCCCAGCCAAGTGGCTGTGTCCGTTGAGGGTCACCCGCAAGCTGTAGTGCCTTGGGGTTTCTCTTTTTGCTTGATGACCGTGGCTGGGTCTGAGTGGGTTTGTTTGGAGCGTGTACTTACCTATTCTGTGGCCGGGCTGGTACCTTGGGGATTTGGGGTGGCCCAGCCCTGGCCCATCCCTGACTGTCCCCTCTCGCATCCAGAGCTGCTGGAACTGCGGCCGCAAGGCAAGTGAGACGTGCAGCGGCTGCAACGCGGCGCGCTACTGCGGCTCCTTCTGCCAGCACAAGGACTGGGAGAAGCACCACCACGTGTGCGGCCAAAGCCTGCAGGGCCCCGCGGCCATAGTGGCCGACCCCGTGCCCGGACCGCCCAATGCCACCACCGGCCTGGGCCCCTGCCTGCCCACAGGTGCCACCAGCCCCAGCGAGGCCGGCTCTGCAGGGCCCTCCCGCCCTGGCTCCCCGGGCCCGCCCGGCCCACTGGACGCCGTGCCCCGCTGACCCCTCCGGGACCCCGATGCCCAGCCCATGGACGCCCGCCGACCCCACCTGGCCCCGGCCCGCTGGACACTGTGCTGGCCCTGGGAGCCCGACTGTTGGAGTCACTGCTGCTACTGCTTCTCTCCAAAAGAAAACACAGAACCAACAAGACTGCATCCAACGCAACTTCCTCAGCTACCTGACGATCTCACGCACGACCTCCTGAGCATCCTCAGAAACCGCCCACCGAGCTTTAGACAGCAGGGTGGGCCGGCCGGAGCACAACCGGCCGTCCACTGCCTGCCTCTCTCTGTCTCTCTATTTTCTGTCTTGATGAGTTTCACACACTTTCTCTTTAAGGAAAAAAAATCTAATTGTTTAGTGGCTTATATTTTCAGTGAAGAATTTTGGGGGGTTTTGTGGCAAAACAGCTACTCAGAAATGGACAAAGAAAACTGTGGGGTTTTTATCTCCTTCCTGATTAAAAAGGGAAAAAGAAAATGTATTTTAGAGCCAGAGATCTGAGCCGCTGTCTCGCCGCAGCCACCCCAGGGGTGTGTGCGTCGCGGTGAAGACGTAAAAAGGATTTCAATTTCTGACTCAAGAAGCATTTTTTGGTTTCAGATTGTTTTTTTTCCTTTAATGTCAAACTCTTTGGCTTTAAGTAGAAATCCAAAAAGTTTTTTTAAGAAAAGTACAGGAAGCATTCCTGTAAACTACCTTGCCAGCTAGCCAGCCAAGGACGCCGGACACACCTCTGCTCCAAAGGAAATCCAAAAAGCAAACACAAGAAGTTAAAAATCCAAAATGTTTTTGTCACTGCCAAAGTATTTTCACTGTTTGACTCTGTTCTTGGGTTGGTTCACCCATCAGTCTGTCTCGCATCGATTGTCTCTGGAGTGTGGGTACCGGGCTTTGGAGGGTTTGCCCAACAAGAAGCAACTTTGTTTTCTCTGCCTCGATGCAGGTGGGGGGACAGCGCGGCCCAAGATGGCCTGCGTGTGCACGTGTGTGTCTGTGTGTGCGCTGGGGGCGCGCCTGGCTGCACATCCACTCGTGTGCAGGGGACGATACCTCTGTCTGTCCTCACACTTTCTGTGAATTTTGATCACATTTCATTTTTCCCACTCGTGTAAAAAAGTGCTGATGTGTCCTTCCCAGAGAGAGCATGATCCCGAGACAAGACTGCAACAATCTGTGGGTTGATCCTTGACCGCTTTTCAAAGCACGAGGAAACAACACTGGCCTCTGACTCTTCCTCTCCACGCTCCTCCTCTACCTCCTCTCCTGGCTCCACGAGGCCGCCGCCCATCTCGCCCACCCCAGTGTCTCCTGCACCCACTCTCCTTTCTTCACACTTTTGCAGAAAAAGAAAAAACTACCAACAAGAACAGTTGCCCTCAGGGCACCCTCTGGAGACTTGATCGGCTGTATATAACCCCGCACTGTGTCCAGCTGCTCCGCAGGGGATGTTCCTTCGGACGCCCCCGCCCAACTCCCCGGCCATCTCAAGGAGGACATGAAGGAGTGGGACATTCTCACCGGTGCTCAGCAGGAGAACAAACAGCAGACACGGCCCACGAGCTGCACTGTCTGGTGTCGCTGTAAGAAGTGCCCAGGACTGGAGTGCAATATGGGGAGCGGCCAGCTACTGAAACCGGGGCTCCCGGCGGGGCCCCACCAAGAGGCAAAAAATCAATAGTGTACGTTAATGTGAATGTATATAGTCCCTGCAGAGGTTCAAATAACGATATTCATGATGATGATAATAAAGAAGATGTTTGCCAAATAAAAAGAGAGAGAAACCTTGGAAACATGTAAACTTTAGGAAATAGATTTTCAAAGAAATCCGAACTGTGGTCCTACGGGGAGCAGTGGGTTTGTTTGATGGCTGTTGTTTTTTCAGAGTTGTAAGAATTCATTCTCTGAGTATTGAAAGGAAGGATTCCATCTAGCTGCCGCTGACCAGGTGCCTCCCCGAACCACCTCGCCTGACAGCAGAAACCTACTTCTGAAGGTCGAGATAGCTGTCTTACCCTCCAGAAAGTTCCCTGGCTCCAGCCACCACCTCTGTTGCCCAGTGCCATGGGCCCGTCGGCCGCTCAGAGGTTTGCTTCTGTGGGTTTCAGAAAAGCCAGGGCCAGCTGGGCTCTGGGCTCCCGAGGAGACTGCGGAGCCCACCTCTCCTGCTTACAGCCTGCTGTCTTGCTCTCTTGCAAGCGTTGAACAGGTTAACATGGTGTTTTCAGACGTGCAGTGAGATGACCTGCCCCCTTGGAGGAGGGCGCTCTTGGACTCTGTCCCACGAGGTGGTGCTGGTGAATGGGTGGCTTCACTGGGCATCTGGGCCCCTGAGGGCTCGCGTCCCTGACGTCAGGACTTGGGGGTGAGGCTGCCAGTCTGAGGCGAGTGGTGGAGGAGCCCCTCACCTGGAGACCCGCTGGTCTGCTTTGCTGGCCTCTGTGTCCCTTCCCCTCACAGGGTCCCTTTTGGGGACAAGCAAGCAGAGACAGTAGCATGTTGGCCAGCTGGCAATGTCCAAGCCAGACCAGCCTCCAGGGCCAGACCACAGGCTGAGGGTCCAAGGTCTGGCGTCCCCTCCACCCCAGCTGTTGGAAAGAGGGTGCCCTCAAGCCAGCTATAAACGGCTGTCCACCAGTGTGGTTCCCACATCCGTATCCCGTATACCAAAAGCGGCACTGATGGGGCTGCAGAAATGTGGCATGAGGGGTGGCGACAGGCCGACCGACGGAGCCCCTGCGGGCCGGGAGTGTCCACAGGATCGGGATGGCAGCTAGCTGCAGTGGGGCGGGGGGCTTGCAGTGAGGAAGCCGAGGTCCAGAGTGGGTGAGAGGGGGATGTCCTGGTGAGGGCTCCTCCTCCCAGGGGGGCCTTAGGGGTGCTGGGGCTCCCTTCCAGGCTCCGGGAGCAGGCATTTCTGTCAGTCAATGTGCTCAGGCCTCATTTGTTCGGCCAAAGACCTCACAGCAGAACCAAACACACAATCAGTAGCTTTGTGGAGGGGGTGGGGCAGTGGGGCTTTTGCATCAGGAGGTGGACAGTGGCAACAAACAGCGAGGGTTTCTGCACCTGGAGCACCTGCCTTTCTTATGCAAAGAAGGGATCCAGACAAAAGGGGCTCTAGCTGCCTGCTCTCTGCTCCGAGGCCATCCTACCCTGCTACCTACTGAACTTACAGACCATTGACCAGCGGTGCAGCCTGCGAGGGTCTCCCCGTGGGCCACTGCCAAGATCGGACACGCAGGTGACTCAAAAGCTCTGAGATGCGGCTGCTCGCAGAGCCTCCCTCCCCTCAAATCCTGAGGCCAAAGCTACAACAGGATGGCAGGGCAGCAGCCAGAGCTCCCCAGCCCACAGGGCCAGGCCAGGGATGAGGGACGGACGGGGGACGGGGGACGGCAGGACGGATGCTGGCACCCAGGCCCTCTCTGGAAAGTACTGTGTGACCTTTGACCTCCTCTCCTTGTTTCCCATCCTGCCCTGGACCCAGCTGGGCCTTTCTCTTAGGACTCATTGCCGTCCCCAGGTGGTGTCTGGGGGGTGTTCTGTTGGCCACCCACCAGGACGAAGGCAAAGACCAGGGCCTCCCATTCCATGCGAGGACAGGCTGATAAAGCCCAGACCCCATCTGAACAGAGAGGGTCCGCATCCCCACAGCTCACCAGGACCAAAGGGAAGCCTTGGGTGTTACCGGGGTGGGGCAAAGAGGAAAGCTGGAGAAAGCCTCGGGGGTCCAGGAGAGTAATGGCCATGGGACGAGAGGAGCTGGCTCGCCAGGAAGGGGGCTTCCCATGGGCTCAACAGGTGGGGTCACTCATCAGGGCCCAAGAAGTTCAGTGGCGGAGGGAGACAGATGGAAGAGGGGGCTGTTGGTTTGGGTTTCATTGCAATGACATGGTGGAGAGGGATCAGGACAGGTCCTAACTTTCTCCTGTTTGCAAATTTTTCCAAATATATCCTCAAAATGACACCAAAGGCCCATCTCTGGCATCTACCCACCTTGCCTGACCCAGCATGTCTAGCCAGCATGTCTGGCCATTATTCTGCCCATTCTCTCAGCCTACCTACAGTTATTTATTGATTCTTTTCTTTCATCAGTTCATCATTCTGACCAGTTCAGTCATCTATCTCGCCATCCATCCACCCACTGACACCCATCCATCCACCCACTGACACCCATCCATCCATCCACTCATCCACCATTCATCCATCCATCAACTAGTCCATCCAGTCACCATCCATCCATCTATCCACCTACCCATCCCATCCATCCACTCATCCACCCATCCATCCACCCACCCATTCATCCATCCGTCCATCCAGCCAGCCATCTATCCACCCATTACTCTGTCCCAACTATCACTTAATCCCATCCACCGCCCCCCACTCTTTCACCCATCGACCTGTCTCTTCACCATTCACCCCTATACACACCATGTGTCTGTCCATCCGTTCTCCAATCTAACACACCCAACCACCTCTCCATCCACTGAACCCAGAGCAGCACCACCAACTCCCTCAGTGTCCAAAGCTGCAAGGGTGCTTTGGACCATCCCGTGACCTCAACTGCCCTAAAGGAAACTGCTTGTGGGCGCAGCCACCCACTCCCAGCCATCGGTCCAGGCCTGCTCCAGGCATTGTGGGCAGATTGGACCAATGTCCTAGCAACAGCTCCGGCCAGTCTGGGCCTGCCTGGCAAGTGTGGTGGCCATGGGCCAGGAGTGCGCGCTGGGAGGTGGCCCACACACCTGCTCAGGAGCCCTGTGACTGGGGCCACAAGTCAGGGTGAGCACATTCCCTGGCAAGACCCCAACACTGCAGAGCAGGGCTGCCCTCTCCTCTCCGTGTCTCCAGGTCACTGCCCAGAAGTGGTGTCCCCAGGAAAGCAGGGGAGGGGAGAAAGAACCCTGTGCTGGGCCTCTAGGGTCCAGAGAACATCCACACCATCGGCTGAATGCAGCTGGGCAGGCTCCGTCCCTACGTCTACGCAGAGCTCGGAAAGGCTCATTTCCAGCCTCTGGGACCCCAGGATGGAAGGGGGTAGTGGGAGCGAGGCCGAGCCCCCACCAACTCTCCCTACCCCGGCGGTCGTTCCCACCTGCCTCCAGGCTCCCATGCCACACGGGGCATTTTCCAGAAAGGGGCTGGGAGCCAGCCCCAGATCATGGTCCCGCTGGCAGGAGAGGAAGAGAAGGAAAGCAGAGGGGATGCAAGGAGGAGCTGGGCTCTGGGGACCCATCTGCTCCTCTGGACACTTCACGGATAAGGCCTGGGGAGCTGGAGTCTGTGACACCAACGCACACTGGTCCCCACAATTCCGGAAAACTCTATTTTGCATGCTTTCATTCCTTTCATTTCAATTCAGCTGGCCCCTGGAGTGCCACCCAAAGAGCCCGTGTAGCAGTTAACACAACATCGGGACTCAAACCGGAGCCCGGCTTTTAAGCATCAGAAGGCAGGCACTGGGCGGCCTCACTCCCCACTGGACAGGGGCCCGGCCAGGCTGGCCTCCGGCTCACCTACTGCGGCCTCCGCGGGCCCAGGGGTCGGTCCGTGGGAATGGGGCCAGGCACAGCCATGCACAGCCTTGTGGGGAGTGGGCTGACTTTCCACTTCCTCTTTCTTCTTTTTTTTTAATTCCCAAAAGGAGAGCACTGGGTGGGTCTCTTGCAGCGGTTCCTTGGCACTGTGTAGGATCCGTGGTGTGTGCCCCTCGCGCGTCCCCATGGACTCTGCGTCTGATCTGGGCACTGTGAGAGGTCACAACTCAGGTCCCGTCGGTTATCTCTGTGTGGTAAATAAACCCAGAGTTTGCCATCGCAGGCTCTGCCTCTCCTTGGGTTCCAGGTGACTCCAGCTAAGCCCTGTTTCACACATTTATTCACCCAAGACGTGTTGGGGACCTTCTTGGTGCCAGGCAAGAGAGACAAGGCCCTGCCCCACGGCGGTGGACAGACAGACATGGGATGTGGGTTGAGGTGTGAACATGATGTGGGTGGATGACCCTCTGCTCAGTCCACCCACAGCCTCCTATGTTCTTGCTAGCAGGGTGAACTTCTGCAGGCTGTGTCTTCAAGGTGGTCTAGACGACCTTAGACCCCAGATGACAATCATGGCCTCAGGGCCCCATGCCCCACTGCCTGTGGCAGTGCTGGACACATCCTGCAAGACCCTGAAGATGGGCAGGGGACCTGAGGATGAACACTGAGGGAAGGGATACCTTGACCCCGAGGAGCCAGGGTGTCATAGCCGTGGTGTCCCAGTTCCCAGGGCGGGTCCCGTCCAGGGTCGGGTGCCCAGGACTTGGCGCTCCCTGGAGGAAGGGATGTTATTAATACTCGGGCCCAGGCTTGGAACACGGTGTATTTTGAAAGGCGTCACTGGAAAGGCCAGCATGGGGGCGAGCCTGTCCCCACACCGGGCGCTGGCAGGAGCCTCAGCTGGGCCTGGTGTGTCAGCAATCTCTGCAGAGAGCGGGTGACCACGTTTTTCCATTGCAGAGGTCTGAGCTCAGAGGAGGCTGGCCGGGGCCAGGCCTGAGTCCAGCCTGCTCTTGGCTTAGACAGAGCTGCAGGGTGTCCTGGCTCCCACGTGGAGGGGGAGGGAAGGGCCCAGACCACGAGCCCTCCATGGGGCCTCAGACCCACAGGAGGGAGGAGACCTGACTGCCTCACATTACAGGAGAGAGACACGCAGCGGCTGCACTTCTATCCTCATCCAGCCGGCCTGGGGCCGAGGCCCTGTCATCAGCACAGACATGGCTGCTGCCCCTGAGGTCCCCTGGCCTGCCAAGGGAGCCCTGGAGACCGGTAGCTCACTCAGGACAGACAGAGGGTGAGGCCCGGCACCCTGGCCACCAGAGGGAGCAGGAGGCATCAGGGAGGCCTCCTGGAGGCAGCAGTACAGTGGCAATAGTGCCCCTGGGGTTGCACACACGTTAAGTGCGTGTGGCTGTGTGGGGATAGGGACCAGCATTTGAGGAGGGCGGCAGCCGGGAGGCCCGAGGCCCACGGCCAACTCAGGGCAGGTCTTCCTCCCAGGCCTCGAGACTGCCTGGTGATGGCCCTCCCTCGGGGGCCCAGGGGCACCATGCAGTCTTCAATTCAGCCTCTGTGGAGGTGAGAACAACCGGTGCAATAAGGGAGTCAGGCCGAGGAGGCAGCACAGGTGTCCCCTGACCTCAGCCCCCGGGGGAGGAATGGCTGGCCGGCTCCCGGGTTTCAGCTCCACCCCCAATTCCAAATTCCCATGGACAAGATCTCGAATGGCCTGACTTGGACCTGCCAGCTGTGCCTGGAGGGCGGGCAAACACACCCACAGGGTCCCCCATGAACGGGTCTGGACAGAACAGGCACAGCAGAGGTCCACCCAGACCGAGCCAGGGCCAGCCAAGGAGAGACGGAGGAGACCAGGGCACACAGGGATGCAGGCCAGCAGCCACCCTCCAGGGGCGAGAAGAGGGGAGTGGAGGCCAGCAGCAGAAGCAGGAGGCTTCACAAAGTACACCTTCAGCCCCGAGGCCATTGCCTGAGCTGCAGTAATTCAACCACTGTGCCTGTGGCCAGGGCAGGATTACGGCTTCAGTTAATTGGCTCTACCTAAAAGCAGGTCCAGAGTGGGGTGGGGGAGGGGAGGGTCCATAGAGAATCGGCGGGCGGTGGGTGGAAAGAGGAGTGACAGAGGCAGCTGTCTCTCCTCCAGGCCCAGGACCCCGCCCTGGCCCAGTCCACGGAGCTCTGACTCCCGTGGCACACTCCCTGCTCTCACCCCTCAGGCCTTTGTTCAAGCTGTTCCCTCCACCTAAGCTGTACACCACCCAGCCTCAGCCTGACCCAATCCCTCAAGGCCAGCTCAAACACCACCTCCTCTAGGAAGCCTGCTGTGATCGCATGTGCCATCTGCTTCTGCACACTCAGATAATTTGCTCATGCCCATGTCATCCTAACTGTGGCCCACCACTGGAGATCTAACACTGAGTGGTGACCCTGGTGAGCTTTCCGGGCTGTCACCACCCCTAGCTCAGCCACTGTGGCCAGCGTGGTCTCTGCCTCAGCTGGGCTCCTCTCTCCACCTTGAGTGCCCTGGAAGAAGGGACAGGGGCAGGGATCCGTGGCGTTTGACCCCTCAGGGCCCAGAAGCCAGGGCTGGAAGCTTGGCCCCAGCCCAGAGGGAGGCTCTTCAGAGCTCTAGTGGGAGCAGCTGGCCCGGGGGAGGGCTTAAAACCCTGGGAAGGCACAGGCAGGTGCTGGCGTGGAAGTGAGCAGCGGAGGCCTCGAGTACCTACCTTCCTCGTCCCGTCCACCATGTGGCCCTTCTTCAGCCAAACTCTCTTCCCACCCCCAACCGAGGCCTGGCTCCAGAGAGCTTCCTCGGACCCTGAGGCCCAGGGCTGGGGGGCCTGGAGCAGGACTGAGAAGAGCCCTCTGGGGCCAGGGGGTGGGGATGAGGAGGAGGAGGAAACAGGAGAAGCCAAAGACGAGGATGAGGAGGCAGGCTTCCTGCTGTCTCTCTTGGGGAGGGAGGACCTGGCCAAGTGCCCGGTACCTGACCAGGTAACAACCACATGGAGCGCCCAGCAGAGGTGGGTTGGGGACCCAGGGGCCCGGTACATGGTGGGGGGGGCAGGTGATCTTGAGAACAGGCAGGGTCTGGGCCTCCTTCGAGAGAGGAGCCTGGGGGCCATCCTGCCTCTGGGCTCAGCCTGGGGCTGTGTGCTGGCAGGAGCTGGAGGCCGTGAAACTGAAGCTGTGGGCCTTGGAGCGGGCCCAGGGACCGGAGCCGCCCGGGGCGCAGGCCCAGACGGGGAAAGAGGAGGGCGCCAGGGCCGTGCTGGCCGGGCAGCTGCTGAGCCCCGAGACAGGTAGGAGCCAGCGGGCCAGGCCGACCCCTTCCCTGTGCGACTGGCCTCTCCAGTCCTCAAGCACGCGGCTCTAAGACCTGTTTCCCCTGTAAACTGGGGTGGGCTGTGAGCGACTGCAGGAACAGTGCCAGCTCACAGGGTGAGTCGGGGTTTCCACGAGCATCAGCTTCCCGAAGAGCCTGGGTGACCCTCTCCCCTCGAGAAGTGAGGAAGGAGCTACAGATGTGAGGTGCCTGCCCTTAGCAGCTGCGGGGAGCCCCCCTCACTCCCCAACCCCCTAGTCCTGAGGCTGCTCCCTCCGCAGGCTGCCCCAGCCCCAGGACCCCCACAGAGAAGGTGCAGGCGGACCACAGATCCATCTACGTGGGCAACGTGAGTGGGGTGGGGAGCAAGCTAGGGTCCCTTCAGTGGGCACCCCGGGTCTGCCACCTCCCGGCTGCTAAGATTGAAGGGGGGACACATATGGGGCGTGGCCCCGGAGAGAGAGGACGAGGGTGGGGTCTGATGGGGGGCTGTCCCCAAGAGGGACTGGGGCCTGTGTCCTCAGGCGTTCTGATTTCCCCACGTGAGCTGGGATTCGGGATTTCCATGTGAAATCTCCCAGTTGGCCAATCACTGGCAACGAATTCCTCTTTAAAAAGCCACACACACTTTGCACAGGCCAAATAAACTTGGGGCGCTGCCTAACATGTGGGGAGTGGTCCTACCAGTCTCCAGTCCACCCCCAGCAGGCCTCCCCCCAAGGTGTCTGCCCCCCACCCTGGGTCCAATAGATTGCTCTCCACCAAGAAAATGCGCTGCAGGAGACTCCAGGAGAGTGAGGCCTCTGCAGGGGTCCCCCACACCTGGCCATGCCTGTGTCAGGTGGACTACGGGGGCACGGCTGAGGAGCTGGAGGCCTACTTCAACCACTGCGGGGAGATCCATCGGGTCACCATCCTGTGTGACAAGTTCTCTGGACACCCCAAGGGGTCAGTGCAGGGTCCCAGGGAGAGGGCCAGGTGCCCTGGGGTGCTGCCAAGGATAGGTGACCCGGGGTGGCCCTCACCTGCCCCCACCCCTGCCCCAGCTATGCCTACATAGAGTTTGCCACTGAGAGCTCAGCCCAGGCCGCCGTGCAGCTGAACGAGAGCATCTTCCGAGGCCGGGTCATCAAGGTGCGTGCCCCCATGAGTCACCGTCATCATGCACCTGGAGGTGCCGAGGGGTGGGGGCTCTGCTCTGAGCCTCTCTACATTAACCCGTTAATCCCCGAGAGGCCCCGAAATGGCAAGATCAGGGAGGCTGAGGCACTTGCCCAAGGACACACATACAGCTGACCCAGCCTGCCCCTTCTCTAATCTCCTCTCCAACCTCCTCTCATGTCTCTGGGCACATCCACTGGGGGTGGGGCAGGATGGGGGCACCTCAGACCCCAGCGGGTTTGGCCTGGGTGTGGCACTGGGGAGGCTCCCCGCTGAGCCAGACCTCCCGCCCCCCCCACACACACACACAGGCGGATATGTTGGCTTGACAGGGGCACAGCACTGGACCACAGCTTGTGACTGGACAGTTGAGGCCCCAGTGGGGATCTTGAGAAGGTGGGGGACAGGTTCGGGTCTGATGCCTCAGATGGCCCCATGCCTTGAGGGCCTGGTGGGCGCTGGGGTCTGTGCACACTTGCCTGTGAGCCTCCAGCAGAGAAAGCTAGAAAGGCTTCCTGGAGGCAACTTGGGGTGGAGGGATGTGAGAATAGGGATCTCAGACCGGCATGGTCTTTGGTTCTAGGTGCTGCCCAAAAGGACCAATTTACCAGGCATCAGCTCCACCGACCGCGGGGGCCTGCGGAGACACCCATGCGCCAGCGGGGAGCCCTTCCCCCGCAGCAGCCTCCAGGGCGGGGCCCGCTTCAGACCACGGGGGCGGAGCCGGTGAGTGGGGGCGGGGCCCGGGGAGGGCGGGGGCCGTGGGAGGGGGCGGGCCTGGTGCGGAGCTCACCTCCCTCCCCTGTCCGTGCAGGGCGCGTGGAAGATGCTCACCGTGGTATTCACCGTATTGAAGGGATGCCCAGATTTTGAGAGTGGGGCTGGGTCAGGAGTAAATAGCTGTTTCCATGTGGGACCATTTACTACAGAGGACCGGGCCTGCAGTGCTGTGGGGTCGTAGGGCAGGCTGGCAGGGCACGGGGGAGAGCTGCAGCCGCGTCCTGAAGAACCGGCCCTGCCCCCTCCACTCAGGTGGGAGGATGGCCCACTAGGGAGTGCCACTCGGGGTGTTGGAGGGCCCTGGGCAAAACTTTGGGCAGGTGAGGCCCAGGCAGCAGAGTCAGCTCAGGGTTGGCATACTCCAGGCTCTTGGACTAATTCCTTTTAAAGAAAAACAGAAATGTCTTAATGGTAAAACATAAATTATTAAATTTGAATATTTTTTAAAAGCGCTTGACAACAGATCTCCCCTTTTATTCTCCTCTCTCGGGCACCTGTTCACTCTGCAGCTCCCTCAGGTGGACTCCACAGAAAGGCAGGTGTTGGGGTGTGGCTGCGGGTCCGAGAGAGGGCTGCACCCCACTTCACTGCTGACAGCCGACAGGTTTACACTGTCACCACCAGCCCCCGTGCTACAGGGAAGCATAGCTAACCACGTCTTTGCCCCAGGTCCGGTGGCCTCTGGGGCACGTGCTCCCCCGCAGTGTGTGACAGACACCTGTCCCTGTGGGCCCTCACCTGTGAGGCACTGTAGAAGGGCACTCCCCTCAGGCACCTGGTACAGGCCTGGCCCTCGCCAGGAGTTCAGGAAGCAGAAGTGGCGTTTCCACGCTGGGCACCCTCACCGCCGGCCCCTCCACTCGGAGACTCACTGGCTTTCTCCCTGGCAGGGCAGTATGTTCCTCGGTGTAAACACTTAGTTCTGGCATTAAGTAACTAATGAACGCCCCCCCTTGACCTTTCTAAAGCCACTCTCCTAGCCTTGTTGTGCTTACTTATCAGTTCCTTAAGCCGCGAACAGAGCTGCTCTGTGCTTCAGTCCACAGGTGGTTGTCCCGCTCCCCCTTCTCCAGCACCGGCAAAGACAGCATTCTCTGGGGAGGGCAGCTGCCTCTTTGCTCTCCACTCACATGCATCTTTGACTTCCTCACTCAGGCCAGGTTCACACTCCCCATGGTCTGAGGTCAACGTTGGCCCTCGTAGTGGGATGAATGAAGGCCCCCCCAAAAAATGTCCACCTCTTAATCTCCAGAACCTGTGAATCTGACCTTATCTGGAAAAGAGGTCTTTGCAATGTAGTTGAGTTAAAGATCTCGAGATGAGAGCATCCTGGATCATCTGGGTGGGCCCTAAATCCAATGACACACCCTGGATATGAGAGACAGAGAGATGTGCCAGCACAGGCAGAGCAATGTGTCTATAAGCCACGGAACCGCAAGGATCACTGGCAGCCATCAGAAGCTGGAGAGCATGGGACAGACCTTGCCTCAGAACCTCCCAAAGAAGCCAGGCCTGCTGACACCTTATTTCTGGCTCTGGCCTCCATACTGTGGGAGTAAATTTCTGTTGTTTTAAGTTGCCAGATGAGGTGGGTAGGAGGGGCTGAGTGTCAGGGGACCTTGCCAAGGCCGCCCAGCAGCTCAGGTGGCGCTGTGCATGGCCTGACCATTCGTAGGTGGGGGGCTGCAGGAGAGGCACACACCAGGACACACAGTTCACGCAGCACCGCGCAGATGACACCAGCTCCAGCAGCACAGCACCTTGGGCTGTCCCATGTCCCACCCCCACCCCAGCCCCCCCGGCCTGATGTCGTCATGGCACGTTGGCTTTTCCATGAGATCCCCAGCAATCTTCTACCTCGAGGAGTTAGTTCTGTTTCAGAAGCATTTTCCTCATCCCTCTGTCTGGCCACTGTGAGGAGAGTGAGCCCAGGAGTCCCTCCTTTCCAGTGGGTTTCAGGCCTGAGCAGGCCAAGGGCGGGGAGACAGAGCATTCCTGACATGGCCGTCACGTGGGTGGCGAGGGCCTCGAGGTGAGGCACGGAGAAGGCCCGCACAGACCCGCACAGGCCGAGACTTGGCCTCCCCTCACCACACCTGCTCTGGGTAGGAGGAAGGGGAGAGAGCAGTGCTGATGCCTGAGGGAAGAGACTGCTGGCGTGAACTTCAGCAGAGAAGTCACCTGCAGCAACAACCAAGGGCCAACTAGGAGCTGCACCCAAGGGGGCTCAGCTCTGCGGCGGAGGGACGGGGCAAGGGCAGGGGCAGGGGGCAGGGGCAGGTGGCCCGCAGTGAGGCCAACCTCACTTATAGAGATGCGAAAAGATAAGGGGAAACTGCCCTCCTGATGGTTCCGTTGGCAGAACAAAGGCTAGCAGATTACTTCTAACCTTTGATTTTCTCAGGCTTAAAATTGGGATGCTACCTAATAATGTGTGTGAAAACTCCCCAATGTAAAAAGTATGGGTTGGTCTGGCTGCACCTACAGAAAAACCCAAATAGGAGTAGCTTCAAAAGATGGGGGTTTGTTTTCTCACATAAAAAAAAAAAAAGCTAAACATAAGTAGTCCGGGCCTAGTATGTCACCAAAGACCCAGGCTCCTTCTAGGTTTCTGCTCTCTCATCCTTAGGGGTGGAGCTTGTCCTCATGCTCTCAAGATGGCTGTCAGAACTCCAGCCATTGCATCCAAGTTCAAGGCAGGAAGGGAAAAGATGAAGAAAGGGTGCTCCATCTGCCAGCTGAATCCTCTTTTAAAGTATCCTTCCTGCAAGTTCCTACCAACACCATCCATTTAGGTACCGTAACTACCTACCCTTGTATGCTACAGAGGGTAGGAAATATCTTTTGTCTAGTCAATTGCCCCCAATAACACTGGGGTTCTGTTAGTAAGAAAGCAAGAGAGAATGGACGTTGGGTCAGCAACTTGCAGTCCCTACCACAGCCACTCCCCAGGCAGGAGAGACTACTGAAGGCTCCACCAGAGATGTGAGCTAGATGGCAGGGAAGAAGTCCCATGTGCAGACAGCCTGCCGTCCACTGGCATCAGAAACAGCACCTGCGTTGTGGTTGTTCTCAGCCCTCCTCTAGGTCAATTCCACCTGTGGCGGGGCGTGGGGGGTTGGGGGTGGGGCGGGGGACAGGGACTTGTGTTTTTAACACACACTCCCAGCTGACTCGTTCCTTTACTTCTGTAGTGTGAAAAATCAATCCTGCGCTGGTTAGAAGGGCAGCAAACCCAAAAGCATGCAGAGGTGAGTCCTGCTCCAGCTCCAGCCCGGGGCCCACAGAGGCTGACAGCCTTCCCGGTTCCCCCAGGGGTCTGAGCTGCCTTCCTGTGGTCAGAGAGCCTCTTCAGAGCAGTTGAAAGGAGGAGAGGGGCTCACAGCTGTCCTGGGGAGCCAACTCAGGGAAGCCGGCAGCTCTGAAAACGAGTAGACTCGCTGCGGGCGGGCCTCAGACCCCGAGGGCCCTTGGCACCTCTCCCACTTCATGGACCACATTGCCAAATGACAAAGGGTGCTGGAACCTGGGCCACCTGATCCCAGAGGGGCTGTCACCAGCTGTGGCCAGCTAGTTAGACCGCCATCTGAACTTGGCTGAGGCGGCTTATGGGGAGGCAGAAAGCAGAAATCCAATTACATCAGCCTCTCCTCAAAAGTAAGCCCCCACCCCACTGCAGTGTGCCCAGGGGCCTGGGGGCAGCAGGAGAGGGCGGACTTATCTCCTAACCTCCGTCTGGCCACGAGGAACCACTGCGCACTAACAGGTTCTTGGAGTTTGCTCATTCGGCTCAGAAAGCAGCAGCCAAGGAGACGCCACGGTCACGAGTGGCTTCCTGGATCTCGTGAGGGCTGCCTCCCAAGGCTGCGGCTGAACCCAGAAAGAGGACTTCTCCCCAAGGGGAAGGCGTGCGGGCTGTCCCGTGTGCCCCTCTAGATCTGGCCCTGGGCACAGACACCCCACTGGTCAGCTACTGGAGGGCGTGGAGGGCGAGGAGGGCAGACGGCGGAGCAGAAAGGCCAGCCCATGGGTCCTGTGCGCCTCCTTCCGCCGCCCCCTCCCCCTGCCCCTGCGTGCCTACTGGGCACAACAGCTCCCCGCTCTGTCTGGTACCGGACCTCTGCCCCCGTCCCCCAAAAGTCCTGTGTTAGACTCTCTTTAGCCAGACCCTCTGCTGACACAGACGGAAAACGCCACATCTGATCTCACAAGACCTTTAGTTGGCACGCTGCTCGAGGCCTTGCCCCCAGCAGCATATCCGGGACACTCGGCAAGAGGCGGATAATAATAAATACACGTCTAAACACTACAGTTATGTACAGAAGGCTTCTCCTCCAGACGACGGGCAACAGAGTTCTCGCTCAGCAGACCTGTATCATCATAGAGGTCACCATGCTGTCAAAGGTCCTGCAAAGAGAAGCAGACCTATTCAAGAGGAGCAGAGCCAGCCCCCACCCTTGCCGGCAGAGAGAGGCTCTGTGCACCCCTCATCTCCCAGGACGCTTGGGGCGTTGGTCTCTGAGGTCCAGATAACCAACTCAGCTGAGAGGCCAGGATGTGCGTGCCACCACACCCAGGGATGAGACCTGTCTCGTGCCCCTCACTCCCGCAGTTCCCCCAGGTCTGGCCCTCTCAGCGCAGCCTTGCCCTGGCCGGGTCTTCAGGCAGGGCTGGAGGAGCTGCGCGTGGGCACACAGGGCTGGGGTGCAGCGAGAACAGCAGCTGTCGCCGCCCTGCACAGCTGGAGACATGGGGCTCCACATGATTCTGCCACCAGGACAACCCAGGACACAGTGTCACAGCCAAGGAAAGGTAGCATGGGAGGGGCCTGGCTCGGTCACTGCAATGTCCTCTCACCCGCTGGCTACGAGGAGCCCTTGGGAACTGTGTCTAGGAGTGCCGGAAACTCCCAAGAGCAAGTTCAAAGTGTGTGCACACGAACGCTTCTTTATGAAGCATCCTCATGACGTTCCCATGTTAAGACTGTGTTTATTTGAAAGCTATTTGGAAGATACCTCCAATCCGATTTCCTAACTGTCCAAGTTCAACATCAAAGACAGAAAGGGGTGAGCGACAAATGCATGTTTTCTCCCCGACGGCTCCTGTCCACATGCCTGGGCCCTCACTGGGCTCTGTGGGGGCACCCTATACCTCCTGGGTGCACCTGGGAAACCAAATGGGCAAGCTCTGCACGTACCCCTCCAGTTCCCCTCCGTCTGGTTTCTGTGTTGGAGATCCCTCTAAAGTCTGTTTGGGGGCTGGCCCAGTGGCGCAAGTGGTTAAGTGCGCACACTCCACTGCGGAGGCCCGGGGTTCGCCGGTTCGGATCCCAGGCACGCACCGACGCACAGCTTGGCAAGCCATGCTGTGGCGGCGTCCCATATAGAGTACAGAAAAATGGGCACGGATGTTAGCCCAGGGCCAGTCTTCCTTAGCAAAAAGAGGAGGATTGGCAGATGTTAGCTCAGAGCTGATAAATAAATAAAATAAATAAATAAATAATAATAAAATAAATAAAAAAATAAAAGTCTGTTTGGAAAAACAGTGTTCTGCTGCTTCAAAATCGCTGCCTTAGGGAACAGTGTCCACCCCTCTCTGACTCGTAGAACAGTGCCTTTTAGCAGGGCAGAGCTACAAAGAGAGGGCGGCAGACTCCGGAGAGCAGCGGCCCACCTGGACTGAATGCGGTCCCCTGGATTGTAGAAGGGGTTGCACATCACGTCTGTGTAGGAGTTGTGCAGCTTCCGGAACATCTGAAACAAGAACCAACAGCGTTCTTAATTTACACGTACACCTAGCGACTGCCAGGTTTTTGGCTTCTCAGCATCTCCAAAGGGAAAAGGAAAGACCAAGCGGCCGGGGCCTGGCCTGCACATCCCGTGTGCTTACACTGCGGATCTCGTTGTCACGGAGCGCCGTGTTGGAGGAATCCACCACCATGACGAACTTCACCCTGGAATTGGTCACGTAGCCGTAGCTGCACAGCTGGTTAGGGAACGTGCTTCAACCAAGGGACTCTGTGACAGCATGAAACACAGCATCATCGAGGAAGCATGCGAGGGACGGCCATCTGTGCACATCCCCCGGCTCCAAAACCACTTTGGAGAAACAGGACAGCCTTGCATCACACGAAGTGCCCCAGAGGCTGTCCCAGTCCCAAGAGGACCAGCCATTCAAGGTTATCTCATCCTACAGTACACCTCGGGCCACTGCAGGCCGAATCCCCAGATGCAAAACCCTGAGGGGAGAGACCCCTGCTGACAGGCCCCCCACAGCGTGAAGGATACACCTTGTAGTCCTCTGTGGGGTACAGCAGGCCCAGGTAGAGCTCCCTCTGGTCCACCAGGGCCTTCCCCATGGCCGAGATCTTCTCGTCCACCACGTCCAGGGACGTGTGCACCATATAGTGGAACTTCAGCTCGTTCTCTGTGGGGACACTGCGGATGTAGAGAGGGTAATTCTGCAAGAAAGGATGACGGCAACTGTCGTGATGAGAATCCACCCTGTCTGCCCCCACGATGAAAACGAGGCCACAGAGCATTCAGAGGGAGAAACAACCAAGCACCAACCAGCCGGGAACACACTCTCATTCTCTAAAACCTGTTGTTTGATCCTCCAAACGCTGTGGGCACTGCCTCCAGGGGACCCACTCTAATCTGAGAAGGTTTACGTATTGTCTGCAAAGGGGCATCATTAGGGTGGGCAGAAAAGAGAAGATGGCTCAGAAAAACAGATTTGAGCACAGCCTGACAACTAACCCTGTCACCTGGACAGGTCACCCACCTTCCATGTGGGGCCCAGTCCTAGCACGTGCTCTCCTCTTGGCCCCAGAATACTGGCTGTTTCCCAATATGCAACGCACCGCACTCTCTTCACCTGGGCAGAGGCACTGGCAGGCCCCTCACTAAACCCTTCAGGGCTCGGCTCACACCTCCCTTCATCTCTCTGCACAGCCTTTTCTGACCATCCTGACTGCAGAGATAATAGTGTCCTCCAAGGGCTCCCCCATGCCACAATTTACTGCTTCTGTCCCGCACCTGTCACTGCGCAGACAGAGTGAATGAACGCTGCCCCTGCCCTAATGGGGCTGACATCTGGTGAAGGAAACAATCACCAAACCTGTCAACAAATAAGTAACGCGTTATAGGGGAAAACGCCAAGCGGGAAGCCGGCACTCAGAAAGCTTCGCAGCGGGCCCGGGCTTAGGAGAGGCAGAAGCACCAGGACAGCCACCCAACGCAGTCTTAGGATTCAGAAACAGCTTTCTAGAGAAAATGAAATCTATGGGGACGAGGAAAGGGATGGGAGTCGGGAAGGGGGGTTCCCAGTGCAAAGACCTAGAAGTGAGACAGCAGAGCCTGTCGAGGAGCTGCAAGAATCCCGCTGGGTTGGAGTGGAGGGTGTCAGTGGTATGGGGGACGAGGAGGAAGCGACCACGTTATTCAGCCGTTATCCTAAGGCAATGAGAAGCCACTGGAGAGACTTTACACAGCGGCGTGACACGATCTGACTTGTTTTTCAAATAGCACTGTGGCTGCGGTGTGGAGACTGTCAGTGGTCCGGGGGAACGATGGAGTGGCCGGCGGGGGTGCGCGGTGGAGGAGTACGGAGAGGAGTGGACGGCCAGATTCGGGGGCAAGAATCCAGAGCCCGCGCACGGACGGCTGGCCCTGGACGGGAGAGGAGGTCCTGGGCTGTGGGCGCCGGGGGAACACCCCGGCAGCTGCAGATGCGGGTCTGGGCGGCGCCTGCCCGGACCGCCCGGGACCACCGGGGCTCGGCGAGGCCGCCGGGCCCGCCCTTCCGGAGACCGCGGGCAGGGACGGAGGGGAGGGCGGAGAGCGCGGGCGGGTCCGGGAAGGGGTCCCGCGGCCGCCCTCCCGCTGCAGCCCCTCCGCGGGGCCGGCTGAGCGCCGGGGCGGGCCGGACCGCCGGCGTACGCACCTCCTTGGCGATCACCGCCACGCACACCGCCATCTTGGGAAGCCGGCCTGCCGCGTCACGTGACCCTGCCGCCGCTCACGCGACCGCCGGAGCCTCGGGGTTGGCAAGGCCCCGCCCTTCCGGTCACGCGGTCGGCCTGGGCCCGAGCCCAGCCACGCGGCCGACTTCGGCGCCGCCCCTCTGGTCACGCGGTCGGCTCTGCCCCGCCCCGCGGCCCGGCTGGACCGGCCGTCAGTTGGGTTCGAGCAGCTGGCCGGGTCTCGGCTGTGCCCGGCGTGGTTGCCATGGCGGCGGTTGCCGAGGTGACGAGGTGGCGGCTGCTGCTGGTGCTGAGTGTGGCGGCGCTGGGGGCCACGGGCGCTCCGCGGCCCCCCAACATCCTGCTGCTGCTCATGGACGACGTGAGTGCGGGGCGGGGCGGGCTCCGAGAGGGCTGCCCGCAGGCGGCCGTGGGGGCGGCCAGCGGTGGGGCAGCGCATGGCCCTGCTGCCGGAGCCTCGCGGGCGGTGAGGCCGAGGTGAGGTATCGCGTCCAGGCGGGGCCAGGAGACCCTTCTTGCCCTGCTCCCTTTCCGCTCCTCCCGCTAGGGAAGGCCAGAGGGCCAGCCCAGACCAGCGCGGCCCTGGCCGGTGTGGACAGCTCCTCAGCACCTCTGCTCACCCCTCACCCCCAGTGGAGGGGTATCTGGGGCAAGGAGGGAGTGCAGAACTGACGCACACTCAGGGCCTGCCTGCCTGCCTGCCTTGGAGGTCAGTTCCCTCTGCCTTTGCCTTCTGCATCTGCCCTGCTCAGGGGCTGTCCCTGTGCACCTGGGCGCTGCTCCGGCCCTGCGGAGAAGTCTGGCCATAGGTCAGGTCTTTCTGGGTCCGGGAGGAACTGACCCGGGAGGAATGTCTCTGGTTGGGTGTGTGCAGCCCCGGGCCCCTGGTCACAGCGGTCGCACTGGTCAGCCGGCCCTGTGGAGGTTAGCAGGATTCCTGGCTGGGAGCTGAACTGTGCGCTCATCCCTTTGCGACTGTGTCCCATGTTCCTTACCCGAGGAAGCCAAGTGATCCCATGGAGATTCTGAAATCAGTCAGCGTGAGGTGTGGGGGTAGAGCAGGAGCTGCACACACCCAGGTTCAGATCCCACTGGGCTCTGAGCTGCGGGGAGGTACCGAAGCTCTCTGGCCCCTATCCCTCTGTCCAGCTCTCCTCACACAGTGTGGGGAGGACTGAGGCAGCACAGAGGGCAGAGTGGGCACCTGTGCTGTCAGGTCTGGTGCACAGCTCCTAAAGCCCTGGGAATCCACAGTGATAACAGTGTGTGGTGTGCTAATGAGACCACAGGTGGCTGAGGCCCTGGCTAGCCAGCTTCAGGATGGGGACTCTGGAAAGGCCAAAAGTTGAAGCTTTCGGCACCAGGTTGACCTCTATGGAGGGGAGAGGGGGTGGAGCTTGAGTCCCATCACCAATGGCCAATGAATTAATCAATCATGTCTATGTAACCTCCATAAAAACCCTAAACAGTGGGACTCAAGGGGTTCCAGGTTGGTGAACACGGGGAGGTGCCGGGAGAGCTCCCAGATGGAGCAGGGGAGCTCCATGCCCCTTCCCCATAGCTCGCCCCAGGTGTCTTTTCCATCTGCTATTCCTGAGTTGTGTCCTTTATAATAAACTAGTAATAGTAAATACAGCACTTTCCTGAGTTTTGTGAGCCATTCTAGAAAGTTGTCAAGCTTGGAGGGGGTTGTGGGAACCTCTGACTTACAGCAGGTTGGTCAGTGTGTTGGGGGCGCAGGACTTAGAGCTAGCGTCTGAAGGAGGGGCAGTGTTGTGGGGCTGAGCCCTGACCTGTGAGGTCTGGTGCTGGCTCTGGGTGGATAGTGTTAGAATTTAACTGGACTGTTGGACTCTCAGCTGGTGCCTGGAGGTTGGAGAAGTGGTTGGTGTGGAAACCCCCCTGCATTTGGTGTCAGAAGTGTTGTGAGTAAAAAAAGCTTGGACTTCCCCAAAAGGCCAGGAAAGATGCTTACAGGAGCCATTGGACCAAGGCCACGAGCCTCACGTGGCTGCTGGGCAGGCCTGGCTGGTTGGAATTGAGAGGTGCTGTGTGTGTAAAACGCATTTACTCAGTTTTCAAAGACTTAGTATGAGGAAAAGACTGTAAAATATCTCATTTAATAATTTTTTAATATTAAAATAATTATTATATAAAATTAACAGCATTCAGATAAGCCTGAAAAGATCGTAGAAACCCATCTGTGATTCCACCACGTGGAGAAAACACCGAGCGTGCTTCTTTTTAGTCTAATGAACTCATCCAGATGATGACCCTTCTGAAGCAGGTCCCAAAGCTCCTCCGCTGGCCGTCCTGGTGGCTGGAAGGGAAACTTTGCTTAATAACGAACGACACATCGGTCTTAGCAACGCTTTCTGTTTCAACATTCGGTCCTCTCGTGGCTGCCATCCCCGTGAGGGTTCGGTCAAGCGGTCTCTCTGGGTGGCTAGCCTCTCATTGAGCCCCTTCCCCTTCTCTTCCAGGGGACAGTTGGGCATGTGAAGCGGATTACCGCCCTCCTGGCGGTTCATTAGTAATGTTTTACATTGTAGGTTTGTTGAGATGATAGTGTTTTGGGTGTATTGGGTTAAGTAAAATACAGTGTCAGCCTTCATTCACCTGTTTCTTTTTGCCTTGTTAACGTGGATGCTGGAAAAATGCCGACTTACACAGGCGGCTGCGTGTATTTCTGTAGGAAGCATCGTTTTAGGCCCAGGAGGCCCTGAGTGTTGGAGTGTGACCAGCGCTGGGAGTGTCTTTACTTGAGGGGGCCTGATGTGGGGCCACACCGCCTGGGTGCCCCAGGGTGGGGCAGCAGGAAATGGGAACCGCCGGCCGGGAGGCCCAGCACTGGGTCCCTCCCGTGCAGGTTCCTCTTTGTGGCTTCGGGGTTCTTTGGCAGCTGAAACCCAAAGAGACCTGGCAGACGTTTGTCCTGGTCAGCGAACGTGGGTTAGTCAGGACTTTTTGGTGGCAAATGAGAGAAAACGTACTCAAAGAGACTTAAGCAAAAACAGGAACCCTGGCTGTCCTGACTTGGTGGGCTAGAGCCAGCTTGGCCTCAGGCCGGTGAGATCCGGAGGCCCTCCCAGCTCTGTGTCCTCACCTGGCCTCACCCACCACTGATGGTCAGCAGGCCCAGTGGGCAGGCACGCTGCCCTGATGGCTCTTGTTATACCCTTGAGCCAGGCTCTCTGGGGGAGGGGTCTGCTGGCCTGTCCAGCCGGGGCCTCGGGCCCAGCCCTGGGAGGACCGTTGGGGAGCAGGATGGGGACAATTATGGCGAGGCTTGCAGACCTCTCGGCTGCCCAGGGTGGTGCCTGGGGAGGGGAGGAATGGCGTCTGTCTCCTTCTTCCTCAACCTGTCCTTACACGCAGCACAGGCCCCTGGTAGACAGGCGTGGAATGAGTTTATAAGACATTGAAAACCGCTTCTTCAGTGGAGCTGACTCATCTCTGTTCTCTAAGGCCAATGGGGCCCTGGGGCCGGGGCGACAGAGGCTCCTTCCTGGGGTGTCCCAGCCTGGCCTGGCCCAAGACTGCTCCTGCTGCGAGGGCCTGGGCGCTTCCTTGTTTTTAATATAGGATTAGGAAGGACCACCCTGCCTACTGAGGAGGTTTAAAGTCGGGCTACACGGAGGCCAGCTCAGGTGTGCCTACTGTGGGCCCATTAGTGGGAGCCCCAACCTGAATCTCCTGAGCCAAGCAGTGGAGCCTCCGTGTCCTTCGATGTATGTTGACATGGACAAGCTCACGGCTGGAGTGTCTTTATAATCGTCCCTCATAGCCAGCAATGAGTGACGCTTGCATTGCTCAAAAGTCTTGAAGTTCTAAGTAGAGGAGAAGCCAAGGGCGGGAGGATGACGTAACTCCTGGGTCCCGGCTGCTTTCGCTCCTATGAACAGTCACATAGGAGAGGGAAAGAGATACTTATCACTGCCTCACAGGGTGCCTTTCGTGCTGGTTTCATTTCACCCTAAGAATTCTGGAAGGTGGATGTGAATGTCCGTATTTTTATAGCTATGAAAGCTAATCGATTAGTAATAATAGAATGGTATTGAGCAGAAATGAGTTAACACAGCAGGCCAGTGACTGCCAGCCTCGGAGACGCCCATGAGGAGGCAGGTGGGCCCTTGGCCGGCACTGGGGACCTGGGATTTGGGGAGTCTCCCCCACTCCCTGATAGGAGGGGCTCCCTGTGCTGAACTGTTCTTTCCTCCCGGAGGCCGGAATTTTGGTGGGTGCCAGGCAGGGGGATGCCCATGTGGCCAGCCCCCACTGCCTCTCTCTGCTCCTCCGACCTGGGATGTGCCTGCCTAGAGGTACAGCAGCCCCCCTGCGCCCGTGAGGACAAATCCGCACACTGGGGTGCTCCTACCCGCCTCCCTTTCTTCCTGCCAGCTGCACCTTTTCCAGGCGTGTTTCATTCCAGCTCCCGTTGTCACTGAGTGTCTTCAAAATAAGCCATCTCCGAAGGGACCCAAAGCTGAAAGGGCCAAACCCGGGGCTGTAAGGCTGGAGGGGCCTCTGGGAGCAGACTGCATTGTCCGAAGGCAAACCCCCAAGTTGGCTGTTGGACCCCTGTGTGTGACTCCCGGCCTCAGGCTGGGAGACGGGAAGGAGTGAAGAAGGCTGTGCCAGAGAAGTGTGGAGTCGGATGTCACCGAGAGGCAGTGTCACGCTCCCAGGCTCCCCTTGTGGGGAGAGAGGGTATGTCATCTGTTGTCCAGTGAAGGAGGACGTTAATAGTTACAGTCAGACAACAGACCTGACTGGGGCCGTCCCAGGCTGTCCCATGTACAGCCACCCACGTATAGCCCAGAGTTGCCAGACCTTTTCGTGAGATCACCAGGCCCCAGCTCTCTGAAACTTCTGCAGAATCCACCCAGCGTCATCGGCATTCTCTGGGTCAGCACACTAGCTGTGTCCAGTCCCGGGTGGGCACTTTTCTCTCAGTTCAGACCCTGTCCTCTCTCCCAGGCCCGAGACTTCCTGTTGGCTGAATCACCAGAGCAGGTGAGTCAGAAGAGCTTTATGGGGCCCCCGGAGAGACGGGGATGGCCAGGGCCCTACCGGGGCCCAATGGACAACCTGGGCCCCCGGAGAGAAGGGGATGGCCAGGGCCCTACCGGGGCCCAATGGACAACCTGGGGCTGCCCTTCCTCCCTCACTGCTGTGCTGAGATGTGGCTCACATTACACGCAGTTCTCCCCGTTAGAGTGTGCAGTTCAGTGGTTCCTAGTAAGTTCACAGCATTGTGCGCCCATCACCCCAGTCAACCCGAGATCATTGTCATCACCCCAGGAGAAACCCTGTCCCCATTTGGCAGTCACCTGCATTCCCCGCGTCCCCAGGCCCTGGCAACCACTCATCTGCTTTATGTCTCTGGATTTACCTTTTCTGGACGTTTCTCATAAACAGAATCATACAACATCTGTCCTTTTGTGATTGGCATCTCTCACGTAGCAACATGTTTTCGAGGTTCCTCCACATGGTGGTTCAGTCGTTTTTAATGCTCAATCGTGTTTTGCTGTGTGGATGGACCACGTTTTATCGGTTTGTCTGTCTTTGGATACTGGTTGTCTCCACCTCTTGGTGATGTGAGCAGTGCTGCTGGGAACACACGTGTGCACGTTTTCTCATGGACCTGTGTGTTGGACTCTGGATTCCCAGAGTAGAATCGCTGGGTCAGACGGGCACTCGGTTTGGTGCTTGGAGTACCTTCTCGGGGGAAGGGATGTGTCACCTGTGAGGGAAGGCCTCACTCTCACTGGCTGCGGCTCCCTGGGCCCAGCTCCACAGCCAGAGCCCCTCCCCCCACCCCCACCCCATTCTCCAGGGGAAGAGGGGATAGCATTGAGTCACCTTGGAGGCGACGCCCTTGGGGTTCATGCTGAGCAGACATTTAAGGAGACCCAGCTTGGAGGGACCTTGTCGCGGTTGATGAATCCAGAGGAGAAACATTGCCACCAGGCCATGTCCTGCCCGCCCGTGGATGCTGAGGGGTCCTGGGGTCAGGTCTCCCGCCTAGGACATGGGCTGCAGAAGGATGTGTTTGGTCACAGAGCAAAGTCCACGTGCCATTGTCCCTTTTGAAGTATTTTTTAAAAACATTTTAGGACAACAGTTCTCAAACACACAACCAAGTTGAAAGAGTTCTGCAGTGCACACCTGCTCCCCAACCAGATTCTCCTCCAGTTCTCCCTCTAGCTTTGTCACACGTCTGTCTGGCTGCCTGTCCCTGCCCAGGTGGTAACACATCTTACCACTTGGCTTGTTTGATTTTGGTACAATGCATTTAACATAAAATTTACCATTTTAACTATTTTAAAGTCTACAATTCAGTGGCATTTAGCACATTCACAATGTTGTGCATTCACCACCACGATCTAGTTCCAGAATATTTTCATCACCCCAAAAAGAAACCCTGTCCCCATGGGCAGTTACTGCCCGTTCCCCTCCCCCAGCCCCTGACAACCACTAATCTGCTTTGTCCATGGACTTGCCTGTTCTGGACATTTCGTGTAAACAGAATCAGACCAGAGGCGGCTTTTGTGTCTGGCTTCTCTCACTGAGCATCACGTTTTCCAGGTTCGTCCAGGCCACAGTGTGTCAGTGCTTCACTCCTTTTCATGGCTGAGTAGTATTCCATAGTGTGTGCATTAGTTTCCTGGAACATAAGTTACCCCAAGCTTGGTGCCTTAGAATAACATAGATTTATTCTCTCCCGGTTCTGGAGGCCAGAGTCTGAAATCAAGGGGTTGCAGGGCCGGTCCCTCCTCAGGTTCTGAGGGAGGGTCCTTCCTGCCTCTCCTCCAGCTTCTGGTGGCTCCAGGCGTCCTTGGCTTAGAGATGGATCATTCCAGCCTCTGCCTCCATCGCCACACGGCCTCTCCCTGTGTGTCTGTCTCATCTCTCTAGCTCCCTCCTATAAGGACCGCAGTCATTGGATTAGGGCCCACCCTACTCCAGTAGGACCTCATCTTAGCTAGTTACACCTGCATTTCTTTTCTTTTTTTTTTTTGTGAGGAAGATCAACCCTGAGCTAACATCTGTGCTAATCCTCCTCTTTTTGCTGAGGAAGACCGGCTCTGAGCTAGCATCTATTGCCAATCCTCCTCCTTTTTTTTCCCCAAAGTCCCAGTAGATAGTTGTATGTCATAGTTGCACATCCTTCTAGTTGCTGTATGTGGGACGCGGCCTCAGCATGGCCAGAGAAGCAGTGCGTCGGTGCGTGCCCGGGATCCGAACCCGGGCCGCCAGTAGCGGAGTGTGTGCACTTAACCACTAAGCCACGGGACTGGCCTGTACCCCTGCATTTCTAAATAAAGTTACTTTCACAGGTTCCGAGTGGACGTAAATTTTGGGGGGCACTATTCAACCCGGTACTGTACAGATAGGCCACATTCTGTTTATCCATCTATTAGCTGACGGGCACTTGGGGTGTTTCCTGGGCTCATGACTTGTGTTGCTGTGGACGTCCACGTCGATCTCGTGTGGCCCACGTTTCAGTTCTGGTGGGTAGAGAGTTAGGAGGGCACTGCTGGTTCCCATGGCCATGCTGTGTGTAGCTTTGTGGGGAGCTTACCACCTGTGTTTAAATCTGAATCTCCCAACAGACTCGGGAGGGCTGGCTTCTCTATGTGAAGGCAGATACTCTCGGTGAGCGTATGGCGCTGGGCAGGACCTGGAGAGGGCGGGCAGGGGGCTGTGCCTGCTGAGAGGAGCCTGCTCCGCAGAGCCGCTGACCGAGCTCCGTGTGCCCGCGCCGCACTGGGGCTCCTGGCTGTGTGCCCTCACGTCTCCGCTGGGACGGAAGGAGGTTCATTCCACCTCTCCTGGCTCTTTCCTGCAGATGGGGTGGGGTGACCTGGGGGTGTACGGAGAACCTTCCAGAGAGACCCCGAATTTGGACCAGATGGCCGCGGAAGGGATGCTTTTCCCAAACTTCTACACGGCCAACCCCCTGTGCTCACCGTGTAAGTCGGGCTGTCTCCCGGCTGGGGCAGGGACAGGGCGCAGCGTGGCTCCAGTGCCTTGAGCACTGGCAGGCTGGGCACTCCTTTCCCTGGGATCCTGGCGCTTTGGAGCACCTGGTCTCTGTGCTGTGCGGGGCATAGGCCCGGCAGAGGCTGCAGGGGGCTGGAACCTGTGAGGACTTTTGAGGCAAAAGTCGCTGCCTGTGGTGGTGGCTGCTGTTTTGATTCGCGGAGGTGAGCGGCTATGGCTGGTTCAGGAGAAGCGCTTGGCTGGGGAAGTGACTCTGGGCCCTGGGGTGGGAGTCGTGGGGCAGGAGGCAGCGTATCCCTCCCTCAGAGGGGGGAGAACCACCGCTGCTGAGAGGCAGGGACATACACGCTGATCTTGAGGAAGAGAAGTAATGCCCACCGGGACAGAGGGTGGTGCGTGAGGAGAGGCCTGTGGACCCCACAGTCCTGGTGGCCCAGCTTGACCCGTCTGTGCAGGGTGGTCTGCTCTTGGGAGGCAGGCGGGATTCAGAGGCACTAGGAACACAGCCAGTGGCGGGTCTGACAGGTGGCGCCGATCTCATTGCCCTTCTCTTTTATCACCTCCGTGCAGCGAGGGCGGCTCTGCTCACTGGACGTCTGCCCATCCGCAACGGCTTCTACACAACCAGCGGGCACGCCAGGAACGGTATGCTGTGCACTCAGACCGCGCCTGCAGCATGGGAGGCCGAAGACGAGAGGGGGCATGGAGGGGCTATCTGTCACCCGGTCACGTGTGACCTTCCCTCTCCAGGGCGGCACTCGTTGCCCAGGCTCACAGGCTTTGTTTGGGTTATAATGTGTCATTTTAAAACAGATTGTAGCACTTCCACCAAAAACAATGCCTTTTAGGCAAGTAGAGAGGAAAGTGAGGTTAGTGTGAGAGCTCTGGGTTCGGGGTGGGCCCGGCCTCCTTCCCGGCTCCCGCTCTGACAAGGACGGTGAAGGCTGACAGTCACCGCTCACAACTCTTTCCCTGCGCCCGTCCTGTCCCGGTCCTGTCCCCAGAGCTGCCGGGCATGGCCTGGCGAGTTGGGCACCACCCAAGGAGCTGCTGCCCATTTGTGGGGCGAGCTGTACGCCCGCGAAGAGACCTGAGGAAGCCAGGTGCTAGGAGGGCTGCGCAGGGAGCAGGCGGGACGGCTGTGCTGCAGGGGTGGCCTCCCAGATGAGAGCAGTTGCGCATGGCCCTTGGAGAAGGGGAATGTGGGAAGCCCCAGGAGAGGCCTGGCGAGAGCGGGCCCTCGTGGTGTCAGATGGCGTGTTCCCGAGATCCTTGGGGACCAGCAGAGGGGCAGGAGATGGGGGCCCTGCCCTGATGGTCCAGAGCCCTCTAGGGCCGTGGTTTGCCCGTCCCCACCCGTGAATGGTGCTGACTTTGAGGGAGGTGCCGGGAAAACCCCAAAAGTGCTGTATGGCAGTGGTGGCTCCTAGCCAGGGCTTTGCCCATCGACACTGATGGTCCAGCATTCAGATACATTACCTTCTGTAGCGCAGCCTCCTCTGCGTGCACGTGGTTCACGTGCTGACTTGCTCCTCCAGCCTACACGCCTCAGGAGATCGTGGGCGGCATCCCGGACTCGGAGCACCTCCTGCCTGAGCTGCTGAAGGAGGCCGGCTACGTCAGCAAGATCGTGGGCAAGTGGTGAGTCCCGACACTCGCCGGGTGGGGCGTGTTCCGCACAAGGGTCCTTACGGAACACTTCCAGACGGGGAAGCCTTCTTGGATGGGCAGTGGAGCCTCTGAATTCCAGGTCCATTTAGAAGTCTAAAGCATGTCTTTAAAAGCTGGCGTGGCCGTGCTGGTGGGACCTCCTGTCTGGAGGCTGAGGCAACAGCAGTGAGTCTGTCCTCCTCGCACGTCACGTGTCCCAGCCACCCGCCCCTTCCTTCCGCTCTTCTCCCTGGGCTGCCTGCTGCTGCAGCTTCACCAAAGGAGCCACATTATTGCACACACAGCACCGTCGCAGATGACACACCGGGTCAGCAAGCGCGGGGGCTCTGTCTGGTGGTGAAATGAAGAATCCACCAGGAGGTAGAGGACAGTTGTGCTGCGGAGTCGCTGGATTGAATTATTGTGATCGTAACTCACATGGCTGTGCATGCTGTTTATGCTGTTTTAAGCACGTTAAACGGTTTCTCTCTCTTACTCCCATGGGGATGCCCAAGTGCACAGCTCAGGAGAGTTGATGTAAAGGTCAAATGTCCTCTCTTTCCTTTCCTGAGTGTTGGGGCCCTTGGAGAACAGCAAGCCCGCTTCCTACAGGAAGCCTTCCTTGATTTTCCAGCGCCTTGTCTGTCCTTCGCTGCACCGTGGCCTCTCTGCTCTTAACCCCTCTGGCACTCGCCAGTGCTGCTTTCTCAAGGATGAGCGCCTCATCTGCACCCCGTGAGGACAGCTGCTCCACGCACGTTGACAGTCGTGGCAATGGCGGGTCCGTGGACACTGAGAGAATGGTCATCAGAAAATCCCCGGTGACCTGGAGAACACTTAACGCATGCTTTCTCACTCCTGAGACAAGTTGGAGGCCGTCCTGCCGAGCAGATGGGCTCCAAGCAGATGGTGGCTGCAGAGCAGAGCTGATGGGGGTGCCCTGGGCCGCGGGCACCCTCATGGCCTGCACAGTCTTAGGCAGTGCTGGGAAGGCCTAGGGAGACTGTGGCAGAGGCCGGCTGCGAGGACTGCCAGAGCCAGTCAGGGCCGCACCGACAGAAGGAAGAGCCCCCACGGTGACCGGAGCTCTCTGTGCTCGGCCGGCAGCTCTGTCCTAGGTCCGGTGGCCTCCCGTTCACAGTCGTTGGCTCAGGGCAGCCAGAGCTGGAGTGAGAACGTGCCTCCATGAGCTCCTGAGGTTCGTGACCATCAGGGAGAGAGGTGAACACAGGAGCAGGAGAAGGAGTCAGGCAGGGCCTGGAGAAGCAGCTCTGCGTGGACTCGGGGCGGTGGATGCAGTGCTGGTGGACCGGCCAGTGTCAGGGCCGCCGTGGCCAGTGCGAGGATGGGCTCTCAGAGGCCTGGGCTGGAGGGCTTGGCCTCTCCTCGGCCAGGTGGGGGTCTCAGCAGAGTCCCATAGGGCCGTAGAGGGTGTTGGCAGCCACACCTGTGACTGCCCTAACACCCTGTCTCCGGACCATGGATCAGGATTTCCTCGGCCTAAGCAAGTCCTGGGGTGGACAGAGCCTGGACTCCCTAGGAGGCTGTGCCACAAGGGACTGTGACGTGCTGCTGCCCAGCTCACTTGCGGGCAGTGCTGGCCCTCTTGCTGTTTTGGGGCAAGTACTTTGAATTGACAACTTAACGTGAGCAGGACCTTGGCCAGGTGTTCCTGTTAAGCAAAGGCCGTTTGAGCTGATGGCTGTGGGCACGTAGGAGTGTCACACAGGCAGTGTGACTTCCTCCCAGCGAGTGCAGGAGCAGGCCAGTGAGAAATGACAGGCGTTGTAACAGCGGGCCAGAGAGGACGTGGGACACGAGGGAGCTTGAAGCACAGAGCCGGCAGTGAGGTTCTGCAGAGGGAAATCACACAGGCCGATGCTCATGCACCTGGCGGGGGACTGGGTAGCCGTCAGGAGGCAGAGCATTTTAGAACCAGCAGTGGGGAACCAAGGCCCCAAGAGGTGCACTTACTGGCACCCAGACTCAGTTGCTGGCTGGCTCGGGTCTGGCCCCTGGCCAGCCCAGCCTCGCCCACTGCCCCATGCCATGTCCTCCCTGACCGAGTGACCGAGCCGTGCAGTGAGTTCACGGTGCCCTGGGATCTGTGTGGCCGGTGCAGAGCCTCTGAGTGGTCAGGGTGGGGCCTGCAGCAGAGAAGAGGACCCTCTGCTCCGGGGCCGCTGCTTTCACACTTGTGGCACCACGAGAGGTTTTGTGCGAATGTAAAATGTAAACCTACGAAACCGACCCGTTTCTCAGGTGGAGTCACTTCACTCCACGGTGCCCGTGACCTGGATCCAGCCACACCCCAAAACCACGGTCTAAGCCAAGTGTTCTCAAGAGCAGGTGGGGCCGTGCTCCAGGGCCGGCCCCTCCCATTTGGATGGGAGCCTGTTGGCCCCCCAGTTGGCAGGAGGACCTGATGTTAGGTGCGCCCCAGGAGAAGGGGGCGTGGGGACGTGGGAGCACATGGCAGGGTCTGGCAGGAGGCTCTGCACAGCTCTGCCTCACGCCCGCAGTGCGCGGGGGGCCTGTGGACGGCTGCTCAGCTCCACGGGGAGCCTGGGTCTCGAGAACAGCTTGGCAGTTGTCACCCTGTGGGCACTTGCCATGTTCTCTTCCAGTTATGCCATGCCCGTCATGGCCGGGACGCTGGGTGGGTGAGCGGCACTAGGGGGTCCCGGCGCTGTCCCAGTCTGGGGCAAGCGTGGTCCAGGGCGGCGGCTCACCCAGCCTCCCAGGCCATCTGTCAGGTGGTGATTATCCCGAGCTGGGAGAAGAGGCTCTTAGCAACCTTAACCGGAGACACTTAGTAATTACCTGACAGGAATGTTTCCTTCCTCGCAAACCCAGAGGAAAATCACTCGTGTTTTGAGGCAACCCACAGAGCTGTTCTGCGAAGTAATAAAACACCAGAGGAAATAACGGAGTGTGGAGATGGCGCTGAGGTTGGAGTTGTGGACGGTCACCAGGCGGGTGTGAGATTTCTCATCATGTATCTTCTTCCAGACCCCCTCCCAGTGTTCCTGGCAGGACACCTGAACACTCCTTATCCTCCTCTGTACCCGGACACCCTTACTGTGCCTGAACACTGTCCTCTGTGCCCAGATGCCCTTACTGTGCCTGGACACCCTCAGCGTGCCTGGATCCCTTCACTGTGCCCAGATACCCTCACTGTGCCTGGAGGCCATCCTTTGTGCCCAGATGCCCTCACTGTGCACGGACACCCTCACCATGCCTGGGCACCTTTCTCTGTGCCTGACGCCCTCGGCATAGCCTGGGCAGTGCCTCACCTGGGGAGGGCAGGGTGGATCCTGGCACTCTTCTGAAGGGTGAGGTCTTGACGTGTCCAGGTCTCAGCACACACTCAGTGTTGGAGGGACACTTGTTTTGTTGAAGGTTCTGTGAAGGTGGTGGGGTGTTGCTGCTCGGAACTTTGGGGTGTCCCCGTGCTGTGTGGCGTCCCTGAAGTGTCTTGGGTTCCTATTTCTAGGCACCTGGGCCACAGGCCTCAGTTCCACCCCCTGAAGCACGGATTTGACGAGTGGTTTGGATCCCCCAACTGCCACTTCGGACCTTATGACAACAGGGCCAGGCCCAACATCCCTGTGTACAGGGACTGGGAGATGGTCGGCAGGTAACGAGTCCCTCCCCTTCCTGCGCCCTGCTGCTGCACCGCGAGTGGGACGGAAATTCTGGAGCCGCCTGCTCGTCAGCGCCGGCAGCCCAGTGCACTGGGGCGTGGCTTTGCCAGCTTGTTCTGCCGAGAGCCTTGCAGGACTCACCGCCTGGGGCCACCACACCAGCCACGCCCACAGGAGTTTCTGACCTCTTTAGAAAATATGAGGTGTGTGCACACGGCAACCGAGTTCACGTGGTTCTCGGGGTTCGGCCCCGTGCAGCCCATGGGCGGGTCCTGGGCTCCAGCTTGAGAGGCCATGGGCCTCCCCACGCTGGCATGCCGGCTGCACTCAGGACGTTTGGGAATTGCAGCGTTACAGAGGAAGGGTGGACGAGACCTGACTGTGCGCCTGCCGAGGGCGAGCGCTGTCTGAAGGTGGTCAGCTCTAGGATGGACCTGGTCTGGCCCACGGCCCGGCTGTGGGGTGCCTGCAGGTGGACACGCGGGGTCAAGACCCTGGTCTTTGTTGAGTTTTGCTTGGCTTAACTTTTTTATTTCTTTTCCCTTTTTTATTATTTTTATTTTTGGTGGAAGCCCTCATTACCCATCACTGGACCAAAGAGCTGGGCCGACTCCTTGCCTTTTCCAATAAGAGCTTCACTGAGATAAAATACACACACCACGCAGTCACCATCCACAGTGCCAGTGGTTCCTAGGACAGCCACGTGCAGCTGTCCCAGCGTCGCCTCTCAGAGAAGCGCCACCCCCACGCTCCATCTCCACCGCCTGCCCTTGTGGGGGCCGGGGTCACCGTGGCGCCTCGTCTTAGCTTCGTGCTGCACGACCTGTGATCTCAGGAGCCGTGCGAGCTTGTTTCGTTTGTTCAGAAATCGACATGGATGGAACAAGATGCAGATCTTTCTTTTACATGAGGCCCATGACGTTGCCTGTGAAATGAGGGAGAAGGGGGCTGTCTTGGCCTGTAGTCTGATTTCTGTCTGAATCTATACTGTTTTCAGATATTATGAAGAATTTCCAATTAATCTGAAGACCGGAGAAGCCAACCTCACTCAGATCTACTTACAGGTGATGGGAGCCTGGGCTGGGCAGCCCTGGGGTGCGGGAAGGTCAGCCTGTGGGTGGAGGAGGACAGTGTGCTCTCCTCCCCAGGAAGCCCTGGACTTCATCAGGAGGCAGCAGGCAGCTCGGCGCCCTTTCTTTCTCTACTGGGCCGTCGACGCCACACATGCACCTGTTTATGCATCCAAGCCTTTCTTGGGTACCAGTCAGCGAGGGCGGTGAGTCTTTGGTAGTAGAGACGTAGATCCCACCGGGGGGTTCAGCTGTGCTTGATTACCTCCTGGGACAGGGCACTCAGTACCCTTAAGTTTTTAAGTGTCAATTGTAGAAGAAGATGGCAGCATCTGTGCCTCTCTGAAAGTATCCGTCAGCACAGGGTTAGTGGAAGGAGGGCTGCGGCGGTGTGGCTGGTTCTGTCCTGGATTAACTCTGACAGCTTGAACTTGGGTTTTCCTCTTCCTCTTCTGTGAATTCAGCCAGTCCATTTTGCTGTCCATCCCTGAAGTTATGATTTAGCTGCTCTGCAGTCACACTGATGCCATTGTCCCCCAGTGAACGTCCTGTCTTTCCCCACAGGTATGGGGACGCTGTCCGGGAGATGGATGACAGTGTGGGGAAAATCCTGCGCCTCCTTCAGGACCTGAGGATCACGAAGGACACGTTTGTTTTCTTCACATCTGACAATGGCGCTGCCCTCATTTCTGCTCCCAAGCAAGGCACGTGTTGGAGCATTCCCCGCTGGTCGTCGTGTCACCCGGCCAAACGTGGGTTCTTCTGGGGAGCTAAATCAAACTGCACCAGAAGTAGTTTCCCAAAGTAGAATTTTTTTTTTGCAGCATGCAGCTAAGAAAAATGCAGACCTTAGAGAATAATTTCACAAAGCTATGGCCCCCAAACACAGGGGGAGGGTATCTTTATTTGGGGTAGGGAATGAGTATTCAAAGGGGAAGTTTCATCATCACGTGTAGAGGTGGGTGTAAGCTTGCACGTGCATGGTTTGACATCATGCCTCTGCGTACACCGCGTGACCTAAAAATGGCTGCTTCAGGCCTCCCAGAGGAGGGAGCTCACGCCGTCGATGAGGGCAGGTCACTTTAGTCCAGCTCTCTGCCTGTCTGTGCAGCTGGCAGTCTCCTGGTTGCGGTCTGGGCTGGTCTGAGCCGGTTCAGAGCGGCTGGGTCCCAGGCACTTGTTGCTTAGAGCTTCTTTCTAGAACATGGCTGAAACCACACGAGCTCAAGACCCCAAAGTGTTAGATAAAGGAACACCTGCACCTTTCAAGAAGACAAGAGACTTAGGTCGAACACAAAGGTCAGAGTTTAGGCAGGACAAGAGCAGCAGGTTAGGGTCCATGTCTGGTGACAGTAACAGCCACACACGAGGCTCTGCCCCGGGATGCTTGGACCCTGACGCTCACTCGGTCCCCTCAGCTGCCCGCCATGTGGGGCAGAGTGTGGAGGGGGCTCAGCCTGGGGCCGTCCAGTGGGAACAGCTCTCCAGTGGAAAAGCCCTGAGAGCTTCCCGGTGGCGTTGGCTTGGGCCTGGTCACAAAGTGGCCTGGTCACACCTACGTTCCGTGACACACTGTCATCCTCTGAGAGGATGGGCATCTCGGCCATTCCTGGCCCAGGAAGGGTGTGTCAGTGCGTGGAACAGTGAACGCCCGGTTCCAGGCTCGGTGCCCCCTCCCGAGTTGTTTGGGGTTTCTGGCTCCCTGGAGGTGCCTGGTCGGGAGGGAGAGCTCAGTGGAGGAAGACGAGACTGAGGCCAGGCCCTTCACCCTCTCCTGGCCCTGCCACTGCCTGGCCCCGGGAGCAGGTCACTTCTGCCCCCTGCACATTTAGGGGCTGAACGAGATCACTTCTGGGCTCTCCCTCTGATGCTGTGATGTTCCCCATCAGCGTTTTATTCTAAACTCAGATACGACGCAGGGCCATTGGTCACTTGTCTGGCCACATTTGCACCTTTCTCTGTGTTTAGGGAGCCTCCCTTCACGGTGGGGGCAATGACCGCCTCCCTCTGGGAACTAAAAATGCAGGAGATGGGCTTCCCAGCCTCCCCGGCAGCCAGGCCCAGGCTTGGGGCCCACACCTGCCCCTTAGAAGCTCCCAGCCCAGGCCTCTTGGGGGCTGGTGTCCAGGAGGGAAGGGACCGAGCCCCCCACCCCTAGAGTGCTGGCCAGGGGCGTTACGCAGAACCCCTGGTGCAGTGAGGGGGCCACACACCCCCCCAGACCAGCTCTGTGTGCTGCTGTGGGGCCTACAGGCCTCTCAAAGGCTGTGATCAGGTCCTCTCCGCGAGCTCCCACGTTTTCCCATGTGTGGAGGGAGGTGCTGATACCCGGGCGTCCCGTGTCCTGGTGTGCCAGCTCTCTTCATCCCATGGGGCCCCAGCAGGGTGTGAGTCACTCAGCTCGGAAAGGAAGGCACAGGTAGCAGGAAGCCCCCGGGGACAGGCCTGCACGGGGCGGCCCTGGGGGACCCTGCAGTCGGGGGGCTCCCGCACTGGGTGTCCAGGGGCCAGGGGGGCTTCAGGATCTGAAGCGACAGAAATGGTACAGCTGGCTTAAGCTGAGGAGAAACTGTTGGCAACAGAACAGTAATTCAGGGTCTGGGCCTGGCTGGTCGGGGCCCCAGTGGTGCCATGCAATGCCATCTGTGGCCCAGCCCCACTCCCCGTGGAGGGCGTGGTTTTCACACTGACGGTGCCAGAGAAGGGGCGGTACCCCCATATTGCTCCGAGCAAAGGCTTGGGGCCCAGCTGAATGTTGCTGTCAGCAGCCGTCACCGCCCAGCAAGGTGCCCTGGAGAGCCCTCCCCTGACGGCCAACTCACAGTAACCACCAGCCTCCCAGGGCCCAGGACTGGGTTTCAGCACCCAGTCTTCATTTCTAAATTGTGGAATAGTTTGCACGTACGAAAGACTCTGTGTACATATTTGTAAGGCATAAATAACGGTAAGTAAGATGAAACTCCGTGTACCCACCAGCTGGCTTGAGAAACACAAGGAGGAGAGAAGTGGACCCTTGTCAGCCCCTCTGAGACTGGGACCTTCCCCAGAAGGAACCACATCCCGAGCCTGGTGCTTCTCACCTCCTCGCTATCCCCTGTGGTGACATACATGCTCGCTGAGTCTGCCTGCGCTCCCGTGTCCCACGCTGCTTTTCCCTCAAGATCTGTCTGCTGACACGTGGAGGTAGGGTGCAGGTGACAGCACAGGGTCAAGCTACAGAGGTTACTGCCAGAAGGACACTGTCCTGTTTTGTTATTTTCCCCCATTTTTTGGAGAGCCTGAGTTTGTGGGAGCCTTGGGCAGTGGGTGCTGGTGCAACAGAAGCACCGTCTGTGCCCCTCAGATCTTTCTCTTTGTTCTGGGAGCCCGCCGGGACGTGCGCCTAGCAGGCTGGCTTCTCTGCTCTCTGACACTTCCCACGAGCGTTGTTCCGGGACCACCTGCTCAGAGCAGGGCTCGTCAGAAACAGAATCTGCACCCCCTCCCCGATGGGACCCCCATGGGGCCCAGGGGTCGATGCATTCACCTGGAGCCCCCAATCCTGAGCACACGAGGACGCTCGTGGACACAGACGTTTGGGAACCGCTGTACCTAGAGAGCAATGGTGACCCCCAGTAACCTGCCCCCCGGAAGACGTCTTGTGGCTCTGCTTAAAGAACTTCTGCGTCTTTTGCTACCACTGGGCATGTTCCCGTTTCTCAGCAGCCACTCTTCATCAGCGGCTCAACGTTACAAGCAGAGCATCCAGGGCGATCACCTGGGTCAGAGATACCGCGAGGCCTCTGACCTTGAACTTGAGGCCTGAACACCTGGCTGGTCCTTTGTCTCCATGGTGGTCTCAGTGGCCCACTGTTTCAGCAGCGTCACCTCTGAAGGGCCGGGCGGGAGCAGGGTGGGGGGCAGAGCGTCCCGAGGGCGAGTGCCCTACCGGGTGCATGTGGCCCTGGGAGTCGGGGTAGATGGTCTGATGGGCAACGACTCTACCTCCCCAGGTGGCAGTAATGGCCCCTTTCTGTGTGGGAAACAGACCACCTTTGAAGGCGGGATGAGGGAGCCTGCGATCGCGTGGTGGCCCGGGCACATCCTTGCTGGCCAGGTGAGTCAGAGGTGGGCTGCGTGCCCCAGGCCTGCGGCCATCCTAGGGTATGAAGGCTTGGCGCCCTTGCTGGCCTGCCCCCTCCACTCACTCTGCGTTGCCTCACCGCTGAAGGAGACTCACCACTCTCTTTCAAGCCGGCCCCTCCCAAGGTAGGCAGCTGGCATAGGGTGCATGGGGCTGGTGCTAGAACACTCTCCCATGGGGCATCACATGGGGTGTGAGTAACCACCATTGGAGGGAGGCTTCCATGGTCAGCCAGTGTGTTGGTCTGGAGTTAAACTGAGTTAAATAGGATTCTTTCCTGCAGGACTTGTCAGAGCCTTTAGTGTGCTAATGAGTATCATGAACTTCTGGAAGGGGCGTAGAGCTAGCTGAGTTTTTAAAATCTTATTGGGCCACAGTCTTTTTTTCCAAAGTGCATCTCCCAGGCACTGTTCTGTGGGCGCACTCTCAGAGACAGCAGTGGCTCGACAGTGCATAGATATCTGTCTGCAATGCCCTGTGCAAACTGCAGGGCTGAGGGGCCTGGCCCTTTGGCTGGGCATGGCGTGTGTCCTGCTGCTGTCTCAACCAGCTGTCCTTCCCTGCTCCTCAGAGCCCCTCGCTCTGCCCTCCCTTGGCTGAGAACCTACAGACGGGGTCTCCTACAGACGGGGTCTCCCCTAACTGGGCACCCGATTCAGGCCCCTCATAAACACGGGGTGTCGAGACTGGTGTTTGTAAACATGCGTGTCACTGTCTCTTAATTGGTCTTTTCCCTTCTGATGAGCTTCTCCAGAGAATGCTGTTGGGCACTGGTGTCAGCTCAGCCCCACAGCAGCACCACAAGGAGTGGCTGCGTGTTCCATGGCTGCTGGAACAGTCACCACACTGAGTGGCTTAAACGTGTCGCAGGGCTGGTTCCTCCCGGAAGCTCCAGGCGAGAGTCTGTTTCCTCGTCTTTTCCGGCTTCTTGGCTCGTGGCCTCTTTCTCCCTCGTCCAGGTCTGTGTGGCTGGTTGTGTGTCACCCCCATCACTCTGACTCTGACTCCAACCCCACCGCCACTGTTAGGACCCTGTGATGACATGGTCCCCACCAGGGATCCAGGATCATCTCCTGTTTTAAGGTCAGCTGATTGGCAACCTGGATCCCCCTTTGCCGTGTAAGGAAACGTAGTCACAGGCTCTGGGGATTGGGGTGTGGACATCCCTTGGGGGGCGATGTTCTGCCTCCCATCGTCATTGTGATCCCCATCCACACGTTAGCAAAGCGATGCCCAACGAGAGGAAATCGCTTGTCGGGACCTCCCAGTTAGCAGGTGGCAGAGCTGAGTGCAGACCCCCAGTTATGGGCGTGGAGCCCACCTCCCCCACCCTGCTGCCACGGCCTGTCCTCCTGGGACAGTCTCCAGGGAGACCTGCTCCCTACTCCCGCCCTCGGGAAGGCTCCAGCCTGTGGGACCTTCGGCCCTGCCCGCCTGGCCCTGCTCCCTGGAGGAGAAAGGACACACGCACAGAGCTGTGCTGCGTTGTCCCTCCCCACATCCCACAGGAGACGCTGAAATTGAATTAGAGGGGCTGTTGGGCCTGTGCCCTGTGATAACTGTGAGAGGATTTTATTGAAAAACATTCTGCCATCTGTCCACCCAGCGTCGAATCTTTAGCCCTCCCTTGTATGCTTGGGGGGGCGGCTTTATTAATTGTAGCTTTTGATTCAGAGTTAAGTCTTGAAAGTGCTGATAACAGCCCGGTGACTTTCCGCCATGGCCCAGCACGGATGGATTGCATTTTTCCTGAAGACAGACATGCAGGTCACAAGAGCTTCTATTTTTTTAAAGAGCCTCCCCCAGGAGAGCTCCTGGCTGCTGCGCGATGATACGGGGACATGAGATATCCCTCCTTTCTGCTCCGCCCCACCTCACATGGCAGGCTCACCTCCTGATGTATTTCTCCCAGACGTTTAAGAAAAAAGTGAGCAGGGAGGGAGGCCACTGGGATGAGAGACTGCTGTCATATCTCCATTCTCCTTGCAAGGCCTCGCAGGATGTTTGAACCAAACATCCACCTTCACGTCCCCCCCGGGCTGTGGAACCAGATCACATGTGGCCAGGACACGTCCGCTTGGTTTCCGTGCAGAGTTGCTCCTGTGTGGAGGAATGGCCTGTGAGGGCTGAGGCGCCCCGGGCATGGGAAGCTAAGTTGGGCAGTGGCTCGCGGTCCTGGCCCACAGCAGGCATGGGGGACACCTGCCTCGCCAGACTTGCCAGTGGGTTCACCCCGCTGACATGGCCCACGCCCCCAATCAGGAGCGTGGGTGGCGGTCATTGCACACAGGCAATGGAGGGAAGGACCCCAGTGGGCTCCAGACGAGGCAGAGCTGCGTGCAGGAACCAGGCGTGCGTCCATGGAGGCCAGTGGGCCACCCCTTTCCCAGAGCAGTCAGCTCCTCAGGCCTGTCCGCAGGGCCGCCTCCTACTGGCTCTGTGGAGTTGGACCATTCAGTTTGGTCCCGCGCAACCTCTGGGAGGAAAGGCCGACCCTGCCCACCGCCGTCTGCTCCCGTCAGCCTCAGCCAGCTGCCCCCCTTCCCTGGTGCTCTCCAGGCTGCTTTGGGCCTCAAGGGTCCTTTTTCCACCTGCGCTCAGACCCGATTTGGAAAGTTCGGTGTTACAGTGACGGTGACAGGTGATTCAGAGAGGGCGGGCCTCGAGGGGCGAGACCCTGCTGGCCGTCTTCTCCCTTTTGTCTGGTTCTGATTCGCAGCCACAGCAGAAGTGAGGGCTCGAGAGCAGAGGATGGGACAAGGCCTCAGCCTGCTCTGGGGTCAGATTGAATCCCCACGCAGCCCCTGACCTCCCCGCCGCCACTCTCCCCATGGGGGACTGGTCCCTCCCTCGTGGGTCCCCGAGGCGGGAGAGTTGTGTGCCCCCACACATGTGCCAGCCTGATCCTCAAGGCCCTGAGGTGTTCCAGGAGAGCCCGGGGTCAGTGGGGCTGAGGGGACCTGGCCAGGGGAGACTGACCGGGCGGGAGGCCTCTCGTGTACTGGTGCTGGGGACGGGCGTGTGTGGACGTGGGGTGGCGAATGCCTCTGTGTTGTGTGTGTGGACACGCTGTAAAGGAATGTGACCGTGTGTGTGTGTGTGTGAGCACACACGCCTCTGTAGAGCCAGCCGGGCAGCAGAAGGGCACACGGAGGCCTGGTCTAGGCGGCCGTCTGGTCGGGACAGGGCGTCCTGAGTCTCCACCATGTCTGTTTCAGGTGAGCCACCAGCTGGGCAGCATCATGGACCTCTTCACCACCAGCCTAGCTCTCGCAGGCCTGGAGCCACCCCGCGACAGGACCATTGACGGCGTCAGCCTTCTCCCGGCCATGCTGCAGGGCCAGCTGACAGACAGGTGGGTTCCAGCCGGACACTTGCCACTGCCCCAGCCCCAGCCCCCGGTGCCGAGCAACGGAGCCAGAGCTGGCTGGCAAAGCCGCTTCCTTGCCCAGCTGGCTTGGGGCGGAGGGAGAGCCAGGGGCAGGCGAGACCCCTGGGACTTCCCGGCATGAAGTGCATCCTGGAGCGTGAGACCTGGTCCTCCAGGACCGTGCCCATCACTCAGGGCGTCCGGGCGCACCTAGGTCGGGGTGGAGGGTCCTTGTTCCTTCGAACAGTGTCCATCACTCTGGTCTCAGGCCATGGCAGGGAGGAGAGGACGGCCCTCTGCCAAGTCACCAGCCATGACTGGAGCTGGAGCCTGGCCTGCCCTGTGCTCCGCTCTGCACCGGAATTCTCCATGTCCAGAGTCAGTTTCTGTCCAGCTCGAGGCCAGCGACCATTCTGCCCAGACAAAATGAGTTTTCTGGGCTGCTCTGGCGAGAAAAGGGTTTAAAATAGGAAATGGTGTAGTGGGGGCAGGTGGCCCTGCTGCCCTCAGAGCTGCATGTGGTCTCGGGTTCAGGGCAGGGGTTAGACAGGTTTTCTTTCTTTTTTTCAATATTGCTTATTTTTCTCTCTTGCAATCTGGTGCGTGAACTTGTTTGCTGCTGGAGAGAGAAGGTGCCGGAGCTGCAGTCTCCCTGGCAGGCCCATCTGCCTGGGACCTGGGCTGGAGCCTCTGCCACCAGCTTCACTCCACTGCGAGCCTCCCCAGGGCTCAGAGTGAAGGGTGGCGACTGTGGGGCTGACCCAGCAGCCTCAAGGACGATTCCACACTGCGCAGAGTGACCTCAGCTGTGAAGTTTCCACCATAACCCACTTGGAGGCGGAGCCGTGCCCTGCACCGGGTTTCTGGCGTCACCTGACCCCTCCCCCCACAGGCCGATATTCTATTACCGTGGCAACACGCTGATGGCGGTCACCCTCGGCCAGTACAAGGCCCACTTCTGGACCTGGACCAATTCCTGGGAGGAGTTCAGACAGGTAAGGGTCTCGGGATGCCATGGACTCTGCATTCCTGTGTCCGTCCTTCAGGAGGACGTGTCTGGCCAGAGCAGGCCGGCAGGCACCTGAGAAGGAGTTGGGGGCGACACGGCGTAGCTACAAGGACAGCCCCTTAGGAGCCTGGACACCCCCCGGGACACCTCACCCTCTCTCAGGCCACCCAGAGCTGGGGAAAGGAGGCGTCAGGGCAGGCTCAGCCCCAGACCCAGGTCAGATGCCTCAGGGGCCCAGGCCAAGCCAAGCGCCTTCCCCCGGCCCCTGCTGACCCCTCTTCCCTCATCCCACCTGGGCCTGGCCAGGTGCTCAGCAGCCCCTCTGAGCGGGGCTGTCTCGTATCTGCATCACAGTCTACTCTGAAGGCCTGAGGGTGAAATGCCCAGGGCCACGGAGTGCCCCACAGGGTCAGGGTTCCTGCCGCCCCTCGGGGCACGGGAGGCCTGTGCTGTGAGGCCTTCTCTCTGGCAGCTGCCTACCCTTCCCTCCTGTTGCCCACACCCATCCTCAACTCCACCCCCTGAGTCTTATTCCTGCTTCTCCTGGGTCTCTCCGCCCGCACCCCTTACAGGGCGCTCGGGGCCTCGCCCCCACCCCTCCCAGCGTCCGGGTCTTTAGACACAAGAAACGCCTGCTAATGTGCCTTAATTGGGAGGAAAAGCAATTTAAGTTAATGAAAAATCTAAGTACCAGAACACTCTGCACTGCTGGGGACACAAATTACAGACTTAGTGGATCTTAAGTCTGATGCCCAGCTGGGAGGGGCAGGCAGGGCCTGGCTGCCAGACCGAGTGCCTCGTGTGGATGTGGGGTCACCCCCCCCCCGCCCCGGGCGCAGGCAGAGCCTCAGGCAGTGTGCGCTTCCTCCCTCTTGTCCCGGTGCCCGCCGGCATCTCTGGCTTGTGATCAGAAGCAAAGATTGGCCTTGGGGGTGGGCTCAGCTGGACCGAACAAGTTTTTGCTTCTCTTCTGCCCTCTGGCTCAGGAGTGAGCCTCATGTCAGCCCTGGAGTGTTCTGTGGGCCCTTCAGACTCACTGTGACAACAACCCCCAAGCTGGTCTCTTCCGGAACTCTCTCAGTGAATGGCACAGCAGAGCCATATCCCCTGGCCTGCACTCTTGTCGCCGGCCTCCCCAGGCCCCACCCAGCCCACCCAGCTTGTGGCCACCCACCGCCTCCTCCATGTGCCTGAGGCCCCCGCACCTGCTCCCCGCCCCCACCAGCTAAGCCCGCCCGCCCCTTAGGTCCCATCTCAGCGGTCACTGCCACCGAGGGCCATCCTGAGCAGCTGGCGCCCTGTCCCCCGACAGGCAGTGCCGCGACTGGTTTTTCCCTTTAGACACCCAGGGCCTGAGAGGCATAAGAGCATCCAAAAGGGGCCCAGGGGCTGGCAGTGTGGGAACCCACAGGGACAGCCGTGTGGCCTCACTTCTCCCTCCCTAGCCTCCCCCATCACACACACAGCCCCCCAGGGTCCTCTAGGGTCCCCATTGCTGGCTGCCCATGCCTCCAGGTGGTACGATTGCGCACATGCGGCTGGTGTTCTGGAAGCTGCCCCTCAGACTGCACGGTTCTCCTCACTGCGGCTCCCTGACCCAGGGGCTCTCGGGGCCTCTTGGGGCAGAGTCCAGTCAGCCCTAGCCTGAGTGAGACAGTCCAGCTTTCACCCAGGCCAGAATCCAGGGGTGCCTTTTCCAGAAAGGGCGCTGGAGAAGTCCAGAAGGTTCTGCGGGTGGAGCAGCTACCTGCACGGCTTGTCCTGACTTAACCGCATTTACAGCAGGGTCAGAAAGTATCAGAAAAGGCCACCTTGGCGCAACGGTGACACCTCTGCCCACACGACCCCCGGTTCCTAAGGGCTGTTGGCGAGCTCCTGGGATGGTTTCGTCTGCTCGGCTTCTGTCTTCCTGGGAGATGAGGAGACAGGGTTCTCTTCTGCGACCGTGTAGATGTTAGGGGCATCCTTCCCTGGGAGGGCGGCAGCCCCAACACAGGATGGGGGCAGCCGGCATGGCCCTTCTCCCTCCAGGGGTCAATAGGCCAAGGGGTGCGTGAAGTTGGAAGGACCTCACAAACCATGACAGCAGCCCCCATGCCATCGACTGCTCTCTGAGCACCAAGGGAGGCTTGGATCCCCCTGTTCCTGTCACCTCCAGATGGCTCACACATTTTGTTCAGAGGCCAAGTGGGGCCCTCCTGGGGCCACCAACGAGTCCTGGGCCCGTTCTGCCCTGAGGGAGAAGCCTGGGGTGCGGCTCAGCAGGACTGCATGGGTCTGTGGCCCAAGATTCAGGGTCCCCTGAGTGGACCTTATTAGCTTCCCAGCTCTTCGCTTGTCCAGGGGTATCTCTCACCCCCTCGGCACCCCCATTGCCTGGGGTCCTGCTGTGCCAGTGGGCCCTCGTGCCAGTGGGCCCTCTTGTCTGCATCCCAGGACATGTAGCCAGCTCTCCTGGTCACTCACAACTGCTGGACGGTGGTCGAGGGGACGGAGTGAGCATCTTCCCTGTGCCAGACCTGGTGCCGCTGTCCCCACCAAGCCCGGGACTTCCCTGCCACAGGCCATTTGAGGCCAGGGAAGAGGGGGAAGGGTGGGTGCTTGTGTGCAAGTGACCTTTGTTTCTGGGCTGCACCCCACGAGCGTCAGCCGACATGCACACTGTCTCCCTCCCGTGTCCTTCCCACCCTCCGAAATGCCAGCGCTGTGCGGGCAGGTCACAGGAGGAGGAAAGGGGCCGCGTGGGAGCTCAGTGCTGCCTAAGAGTGAGGCCTCCCTCACGGATGGCAGTCGTGAGAGAAGCTGCTGAACTGATTAGCAGAATCTTAATTAAGTAGTGTGTTGGATTTGATCCTGATTGTGATGTGTGTCTTGTGTCCAGACTTGGACGCTTCTCCATTAACTGCTTGGCACTGTTGTGCTAGTGTGGTTGTTTCTCCCACTGTATGTCTCACATCCGTATTGTTCACTAGCATTTCTGCTCCCGGAAGGTCAAAGGGTCACCCACTGTGGAACCCCCCTGGCTGGGTATTGATCATTAGCCACCCTCAGCAGCTGAGATCACAGCCCCTTATTTTTCTAGCCACTGACTTGGGAATCTACAACTCAGTGCAGATGAATGGAATTTCACAGGCTCCTAACCTCCCTGCTTTATTGAAAAGCAGAGCATTAACTGCTCCACTGAGCAGCTGTCCATTACAGATGCGCAGGCGCTAGGAAACAGTTTGCCCGTTGGAGCACTGACGCCTGCGGAAGCCCTTGGTCACTTGTGGTTGAGAAGCAAGTGGTGCAACCCTGTCCCCCAGCCCCCAGTCTTAGGGTTGACATGCGGCGGTCACAGCCGCCCCTCCAGACCCTGTAAACAGTGTCCCGTGTCGGCTAGACCAGCCCCAAGCTGCTTGCAGGGCCACGGCGTCACCAAGGCCTCAGGATGGGGAGCTGCTGGCCTCTCCCCATTCCCCCTGGGCGGCAGGGGGCTCTTCCCTTTCCCGAGTTGAGGAGCCCTGACAGGCAGCCTTCACTCTTTGGGACAGAACTCCAGACTGTGGGCCGCAGTGTCTGGAGGAAGCCCTGACCTGAGGCTGCCCTGGGGCCTCAGGGCCATCCCAGGACAGGACAGAGCTCAGTCCGCACACTGACATGCAAGCCCACTTCCAATGAGAGGCCACCGCGGGCAGGGGCGGCCTGGGGAGGGCGGGAGCAGGAGGCCGCGGGCTCATACCTGAGTGTTGAGGGAGCTGAGGGTCCCTGCTCTCTGGGTGTTCCGGTGTCGCTGACCATGTCAACCGTAGTCGTAGAGTCTCTGCCTGTTAGCTTCGGCATCCGGGTCCTCTGTGGGCCTCACTGTGTCTGCGTCGTCTCTGGCTTGCAGTCATGCAGTCCCTCCTGCCCCGAGGAGCCTTGAAGGAATGCCGAGCACTGTGCACTTCACCTGCTGTGGGGCAGATAGAGTGTGGTGAAGAGCTTTGCTCTAGAAGTTAGTGGTGGTCAAGGTATGAGAAGGGCTGGAGTAGTTTAGAGAGATTCACCCCCCCAAAACTAGAGGCGTTCTGTGGGGCAGATGGCTCGGCAGCTCCAGGGCCCGGGTGGGGCTCCATCCCACAGGATGGCCGTCATGGTCCCGCTCACTCCTTGAACGCTCGGTGAGCACCCATGATGCGCCACGCATGGGGGACGCCGCCCCAGGACGGGATGGGCTGGCCTCCCTGGCGGAGATCTGGCTGCTGGTTCCTGGGCTCTGACGACGCAGCATGCAGAACACCCATGCACCCCCACCTCTCCTTCCAGGGCATTGATTTCTGCCCTGGGCAGAACGTCTCAGGAGTCACCACCCACACGCAAGAGGAGCACACAAAGCTGCCCCTGATCTTCCACCTAGGACGCGACCCGGGAGAGAGGTTCCCCCTCAGGTGAGCGGGGCACAGGGGGGCCTTCGAGCTGCCGAGAAAGTGTTAGCTGGGCCCTCACCGATGGGTGCACGTTGTGAGCATGTAGAGGTGCATGTATGCACATGGGGCAGCGGGGGCCTCCCTCTGCACCCCTGCTGGGCACACTGGGGCCCATCCTTCGAAATTTTCCCTCAACATGCTGTCTCGTCCGTCTGGCGCGGGCTGTGTCAGGCCGGCTTTCTTCTCCTGGTGCACCCCCACCTGTCCCCCAACTTGTCTCCCTTGCCCGCCAGTGCATGTGGCCCAGGATGTGATGCCCTGCCTGACCTGCCTTCAGGGACAGCTGAGGTGGAGGGTGAGGGTTGGGCATGGAGTGGACAAGGACCTCTCCGCACGGCCGCCCCCTCGTGCACAGGCAGCACTGAGGACGCGGAGAGTTGCGACACCGCCCAGAAAGATCCCCCCGGGGCTCCTGCATCCTTGACGGGGTGGCCCCCTGCCTCTGGCTGTCACTGAGCTCCTCCAGTGAGGCTCCCTGGATGGGGCCTCTCCCGTACCATCAGGGTGCTTGGGTGCTTCCCTGGGGACACCTCCCTTTCTCTGGAGCTTCATCCAGCTGAGAGGCCTGGGACTATGGGAAGGAAATGCAGAGATGGGTGCCATGGATGAAACAGCGTCCGAGTCCAACAGAACCGCATAACGTGGCCTTGTTGGAAATAAGGACTCTGCCAGAATAATTAAGGTGAGGGTCGAGATGAGGTCATCCTGGATCAGGGTGGCCCTAATCCAGTGAGAGTGTCCCTACAAGAGACCGAAGAGGAGAGAGACAGACACAGGAGAGAAGCCATGTGATGATGGAGGCAGAGATGGAGTGATGTGGCCACAGCCAAGGGACGCCTGCAGCCCCTGGGAGCCTCTGGAGGGAGCATGGCCCTGTGACATCTGGATTTCAGACTCCTGGTCTCCAGGATGAGGACGAGTCCCTGTTGTTTAAGGGCCCCCCACCCCAGTCTGTGGCGATTTGTTAGGTGGCCCCAGGACACTCACATGGGCGAGGAACCTCCTCAGGCCATCACAAACCCCAGGAGGTCTGGAGCAAGGCCACACGCAGGCGCCGGCTGGGAAGTTAGGACTAAAGGACAGCCGGGCTGGGGAGAAGCAGTCGGTGAGCCCCGCCCGCCCCCAGAAGCCCTTTTAGAGCGGAGACCCAGGAAGACTGCGGGCGTGGGTTGCAGGCATGCTTACCCAGGTGAGCGCCACACACCTGTGCCCGCCAGGCCCCTGCAACCTGATTGTCTCTGGGCCACCAGAGGTTAAAAGTCAGTTAAGGTGACAGCCCTGCTCTGTTCACTCGGGTCAAGTTTGGTGTCATTTTATGTCCACGGGAGATTCTTCTCAGTCTTGCTTCTCAACGACACCTGTTCATTGCTCTCAACTTCTCCAGCTAAGCTGTGATGAGCGGCACCACATGCCGTGGTGGGCAGCCCCTGAGACCTTCAGCCATCTTGCAGACGCCTCCACAGCAGGAGCAAACCTGGGCGCCCGGGGTATGGGCTCCCTCGAGGTGGGTCAAAGGAGAGAGACGGCGGCTGAGCCTCTGAGAAGCCCACCCTGACAGCAGACCCACGTGATATGGCTTCTCAGACACACCCACAAGAAGGTTGAAGCAACGAGCCCATCACAGTGGAAGCTCGGTGCAACTCCTGCCCTGCCCCTCGCTGGCTGTGAGACTGTGGCCGGACGGCCCCCCTCCCTCACCTCAGTGTCCCCCGAAATTCGCAGTCACGGGGCCTGCCTCGCAGGGCTATGCAGAGACATGCAGAACACACCCGCCTGCAAGTGCTCTCATTAGATCCACATCGTTGCTACTCGGGGTGTGCCGCGGCATTTGGAGTCACTACCCCAGAGAAGACGGTCCCCTCGGGCAGCTGCCTGCAGTCCCCTGTGCTCCAGATGGGGAGACCTAGACCTAGGGTGGGATGTGACTGGCCCAGGGTTACCCTGGGGGGATGCAGAGCTCTGGGCAAGAAGACCCTGCAGCCGCTGCCTGGCCCGGAAGGATTCGGGGTGAATTTGGGGCCTTCTGGGGCTCCCCACATACACTCACCTCACATCACCACCGAGAAGCCTTGCCACCCAAACTACTGAACTTGGTTAAGCCCGTCCTTTCCAGTGCACTTGGCCCAGAGTCCTGGAGAGACATGAGACACACCTGAAACCCTGCGTGGCCCGTGGGTAGAGTGGGTGCAGCCAACAGCAGGGAGCCGGCGGGTGTGGAGGCCCGAGGAGCGGGCTGGCCTGGGAATGACAGTCTCAGAGGGACCCAGAGACAGGGTGAATGGGGCAGGAGCAGCCACTCTTGAAACAAAGCTGGGCCAGAGGGCTTAAGAAGGGGCACAGGAGTGGGAAAGAGGCAACCGGGAGCCGCAGAGCCCTGGTGCAGCTCAGGGACACTGGGTGATGCCCTTGCTGGTTCTGGCTAAGGCCGAGGCCCTTGCGGCTGCCGTCCCTGTCACGTGGCTCTGCCTGAAATCTCCTTTGTAGGGTAAGTTCCCGGGTGCTCACCTGTCCCCAGGTGGGTGGGGTGGGGGTGGAGGCAGCCCTGGTCTCTAGCAGCCGTCTCTTCCCAGGAGACTGCTGGATGGTGGCCCATTGGGGAGGGGTCCCCTGGACCCCCAAGCCCCTTCTGGGCCTCCCTGGGTGGCTGCCCCCACCCAACTCGTCCCTCCACTGCCCTTTGGTGACTTGTGCTCTTGTCTGTCTCTAGCTTTGCCAGCACCGAGTATGTGGATGCCCTTGGCAGGATCACCCCGGTCGTCCTACAGCACCAGGAGGCCTTGGTCCCTGGACAGCCACAGCTCAACGTGTGCGACAAGGCGGTCATGGTAAGCAGCAGGCCATGATTCCTGTGGGGGAGCGTCCCCAGGGCTGTGGGAGTGCTCAGGGTCTGCACACCCCAGAGCATCCCCCGCATCCTCCCCACGGAGATCTCTAGGGTTACAGCGAGTTCTGGCAGCCGAGCACCTCGTGAAAGGACTGCCCTCCTCTCACAGGCAGGGTGACCACTGGGCAGTGTGGTGGACCCTGGGAGAGCGTGCTTCCCTCCTGCTGCTCTGTCTCAGACCTCACAGGGGTGGCCGGAGGCTCATGTGATCCCTCTGCAGGTGCAGGACAAGCCAAACTCGAGTGGGCTGTGGACACACTAGGCAGACAGCCTGGTGTGCGGTTGGCTCGTGGGACCCACCTCCCAGCACAGCTGATGTGGGTTCCAGTAGGGACAGACCTCCTTGAACCCCGTGGGGGACCCACCGCGAGTCTGTCCCTATAATGGGACGTGTTTCTGTGGTGCCGTGCTCCACAAAGATGTGTGATTCTCATGTCACCGTGTCAAAAGCTCTGGTGGTACCCCAAATCCCACAGAGTAAAGCCAGATGGCCTAGCCTGGGTTCCCAGCCCATCAGCCCCTCTCCCCGTGCACCCCATTCCCCAGCCTGCCAGGCACGTGCTCCCCCCGTAGCCACAGGGTGAGTCGAGTGCTGAGGAAGGATGAGCCCCCCGGCCTCGAGGAGGAGGAGGACCACTCTAGGAGAGGCATGTTCAGTAGTTCACGAACTGGTGAACTTGGGTTCCTTCTGTGTGGGAGAAGACTGAGTTCCAATCCACTTCCAGGGTCAGACGGAGCTGCAGCCGTGGGAGCTGGTAGACAGGGTGTGGAGTGGGGCGTGACGGGAGGAAATCCTGCAGGGAAAATGGAGTTGGGATGTTAGCAGAGTTTTCCTAGCAGTGATGACTGTTAGAGGGGCTGAGGGGCCCAGGGGACAAGGCTGCCATGTTACCGGGGGGGGGGGGGGGGGGGGGGGGG